GGGGGGTGAGTTGTGAACGTAGCTGTATGGCACTCTTTTTTTTTTGTAGACATCGAGGCAAGGACGCGATGAGGCTTATGTTCGCCTTGTCTGAGATTTTTTTAACTAGCTCGGCGTTGAAATAACAAGGTGTAGTTATGTAGTAGCGGTGACATACAAATACCCCTCGATAGGTATAGTAAGGTGTGGGATGTAGGGTGTGTGAGGTGAACGGTAGTAGTACCAGCGGCGAAAAATGACGTCTTTGTACTACATAATGCTACGTACGCCCACGCTGACGCTATGTTACGCCCACAACCTCCCTCCCCCCCACCCGCACTACCTAGACTCTCTTCCAACCCGTGCGAGTCGCGAAATTGCTACAGGAAAGTATCGTTGCCGTGAGGGGTTTATGTAACCATCTCCTCGCCCCTCTTGCCTTTAAACATTTAGTGGGAAATCGGAGGGGGGGCTGCCCAGTAACCCCCCCCCCGCCCCACTTCTCTTTCGCACCGGCGAATTAAAGCTACTACTTACGTTGCATTATCGCATGGGGTCGGAGCAGTTAGCTGTACTAGAGTGCTAGAATAGAAAACCATACTTATCTACCAATCAAAACATACCCACACTGTGCATTTACCAACAGAAGATATTAACTGCCTAGTCACCACAACCCCCAGTTTTTAAAAAAAAAAATATCGAAATATCGCATGAAAGGAGTATTGTGGATTCGCCGTATAATACCATACCCATCTCCCCTCCCATCTCCCCCCCATCCATCTTCCCTCCTCACTTACTACACTCTGTTTCGCTAGTAAAAGGATACGTACATGTATACAAACACTTTCGGTTCCAGCAAGACCCGGGTCCCGAACCACAAACACACACACACACACACCGCTTTCACTTTTTTTTCGCGAGTCCAGAAGCCCCCCAAAGCGAATGCGACGCGGGGGGTTGAGGTCCGAGGGTTAGGGTTGGGTTCGGGCCGAATTTTCGGCGTGTGCGTGTGCGGTGGGGTAGATTTGGAGGTGGTTGTTGGTATCGGAGGTTTTGAGGGTTAGATTCGGGGTGGTGGTGGTGGAGGCAAGAAGAGGGGGGGGGGGGGGGGTTGTGACTGGTCGTTTGGAAAAAGGTACATTTGAATGCTCGTAAGTTTTTGTGACTCGGGAGATTCGAGAAGTAAGCTGGGGGGGTTAGCTTAAGGTACATGATTGTTCGAGGGAAGTTCCTTGTTTGCTAATTCTCTTTGCGTAAGCAGAGAAGATGCTTGTTGTCGTATTTTTGTTGCTTCGTTGTTGTCAAGCATCTTATGATCCGCTGTTTGGTGTTGTTTCTTCGGTGGTAAGTATCGTGGATAAGCGCCAGTCGGACCGATAACATCATGGGCAGTCCCGGTGGAGATGATTTTCCGGGAGAGGGTCAGATACGTACGTAGTTGTGTTATATGTAATTTGGTGACTACGATTGTGTGCTTGTAAGCATGATCCTAGCGAGGATAGACATGGAAGGCTATGTAATCAGCGACTTATTTTCCAATCTCGATTCTAGTTAGACTTAATCGATTTTCAAACTGACTTCACCACAGTAGTAAGAAAATAGAGTAAACCAATTCAACTACACAGATCAAAATATCGCTTCCTACAGAATATTGGATTACGAACAGGAGTATCTAGTCTGCCTATCAACAACCTGTTTCACCTTTTACCATTTCTGTCACTCTGACCCTAAATCCACCTACTACAAGGTCACTTCCCTCTCCACTATGCATCAATTCGCGCAAACACACTCCCTTTCCATTCCAAAGAGAAACTCTGGTGCCCAGATACAATCCCTAAATTCTCTACGCATACAGCCGTTGACGACTCAGCACACAAAGCCGAATCGCGTATGTAATCCCTCGCCAGTACCTCAGAACAAACACATTGAGAGGTGAGTCGCTCAGCGGAGACCCTTGTACATGGAGTGTTTCTGCAAACGGGTGTGTATTTAGAGAGTTGAGTTGGTATTTTAAGGGGTGCTATGAGAAGAGGGGGAGTATGGAGATCAAAGGGGTTAGAGGTGGGTGATTGGTTGTGCCATGAAAGCATGATACAGTTGTAAGGATAAGTGTTTCGTCATGATTAAATTTCGTCGTACTTATACATCTTAAGCAGTAAGACGCTATAGAATGGTAAGAAAAAAACGCAATCATAATCGTCTTGCCTTAATTCCGCAAGTCCGCCATCATCCCATCCTATCACCCCAAGATCCGCGCATAATTTCCCCTTTCAAGAAAAGAACATCGTTCAAGAAAAAGTATCATCATCACCTCCTTCCACTCCTCACATCAAAAACATCAACCTCCCTTTCCAAAACCCCCAAACTCTTCCTCCTCCTCCCCTTCCCAGACACTACACTCGCACTCCTTCTACTCCGACTCCCCCTCGACGCCGCACCCCCAGTATAACCCACGCCACTATCCCTCTTCCCCACCACCATGACCTGTTCAATAACCTCGACAATATCCTCTTCATGCTTCAACTCCCTAACCTCATGCTCATCAGAAAGATGTTTAACCAGCGCCTTGACATCACCACAAACAGTGTCGGAATCCGAGTACTTGGAGCAGATAACGCAGCAGTACTGCGCGTCGGGCCCGTCGCGATGGCATTTTACTACGAAGCGGTTTGAGACTTGGAAGGTGCGTTCGGTGTCGCCGGCCCATTTGGAGATTTCCCAGGCTTTTCCCGGGGAGAGATGTAGGGACCCTGCGCAGTGCGGGCAGCGCGCGTCTCTAGTGGTGAGGAGCGTGGGGTGCAGGGGCTGCGTGGGGTCGCGCTGGAGGTCGTAGGCGTATTGGCAGTAGAGGTGGCCTGGGTGGGATGGGACGATGGTGGAGGTGCTTTCGGTGACGGAGGACGCGGGCTCGACTTTGCTTTGCCAGTCGAGGATTGTTGTGTTAATTGGGCTATTGGTTCGTACGTGTACGGGTTCATCGTGCTTGACAGTCACGGTAGTAGTCGAATTGGCACCAATGGGTGGCTGAGGAAGTACTAGGACTCGCGATGGTGCTTGGGATGCTGCGTGCGAAGGTGCTTTAGACGGCGCTTTTGATGGAGCTCTCGACGGTGCCTGAGACGGTACTTTAGATGGTGCCTGGGACGGTACTTTAGATGGCGCTTGGGAGGGTGCTTTGGACGGTGCTTTTGATGGTACTTTCGACGGAACTTTAGACGGTGCTTGAGATGGCGCTACTACAACCGTCGTCGGTCGTACGCAAGATATCGACTGAGACGGAGTAACAGACGGCGCATAAGAGCTATGGTGAGAAGGCGCATGTGACGGTGCATGGCTAGTCGAATGAGACGTTACATGGGAAGCCACATGCGAAGGCGCATGATGTGGGCTCGAACGAGTCGTAGTAACTGAATGCATCGACCGCGGTGTAACTGGGCGCTCATCCATCTGCCGGTCCTGCAGTGCGACCAAGATTTCAATCGACCTCGCTGCTGCCGCTCTTGAAGCCGCGTTGATATTCGATAATTGATGAGCCGCCGAGTCAGATGACACAGGTCCGTATATGGCAGTGCTCACAAGCACGCTCTGCAAGGCAATGATTTGCCACTGGAGCTCCGTCTGCGCAGTCACTAGTACATGTCTCGTTAGCTGACTAGTTGGTCTGCGACACTCGACTTCAAAAGATGTAGCAACGAGATCCAAAACACGAATGCGCAGGATGGCACGGCGGAGAAGTGCATACCATCACCCATAGCGAACTCGGTGCCCATTGCGTGATATCCAATCTCAAACTGCCGGACCATTGTCGCCTTGTCCGTCATGATGGCTTCCTCGCTGCCCAACCTCTCATCTGAGACATATTCGGCTCTTCTCGAGTAGCTCCTGAGGCTCTGTTCATATTCCCTCTGCTCCTTCAAAGACAAAGTGCGATACAAGTCCCTAGTAGCATCAAACACTCCCGAGAGAATGTATACGAGCGATTGCACCACGTTTGCCGGATCAACCGAGGGATTCTGTCCAGGCTTCAGTATCTAGATATAGAACAATATGTCTTATGACCACGCACCAGATACTTACAGCAATACCCATTTCGTCTTCGGAATAGTATTATCAATATCTTCGGGCTGTTTACCCCAGATATTCGGACCAAATGACTCGTTAAGAAGAGGCAAAAAAAGGGTCTTGATAACTCAAAAGCTTAAACCAACGGAGAGCAACGGGGAGTTCTTTAGTCTAAAGCACACAGATTGACTAAGCAGCAAGTCCCGTGTTCACTTGCATGATCATCGTAAGCTCCGAAGGGGGGACAAATTCCCCATGCAATCCCTACTGGTCTGAACGGTCTTATGCTGAATGATGGCCGTGTACAGCTGGCAAGGCGCCATTGGTGGCCCTATGCTTTCTTTTTGATTGGCATACCCACAGTCGCGGGCCGCACCAGGAACGTGCTCATTGGGAAATCGACGTCATTCCCAGCCGGAGGATTGCTGTGGGACAAAAGGATAGCAGTAGTGCGTAGACCCTGTGGTGTGATTAACGGTCGATTACTTGTCTAGGACCCGACGGGTGTAACAAGGGCCGAAAGCGGACATTATCGGGCTGTAGTCATGTCTCGAATGGGAAATGGGGGAGGCGAGTTGCGTCTACGGGCCGAGATTTTTGTGGTTATCTCCAGATTGCTCGCCTTGCGTTGAGAGCGGTCAGAGAGTGGCTGCATCTCGCATGTGACATCATTCTCCTCCTGCGACGCGCTCATAAATGTAGTCTTTGGCACCACGTCATTGAGGCGCTTCCACAGTACGTAGCGCAACCAGTAGCTCTGAACCCGCGGGTCTATTGTAATCGAGGCTTTTGTTTCTAGTGGTGGCTGGTAATCTACTGGGAGAAGCAAATGTGCGACTGCAGACATCGATCGTGGCATGCCGTCGATCATCTGTCGCTAGTGCTCAACTAGTGCATGCTTTCTTCCACACTCTCGGTTGCAGACACAGAGATGACGGAAGATGCTTAGGCAAACCGTTGGAACGTTACGTCGATGTCATACCTGCGGGAAATAGAAGAGGTAGGGGAAGTGTGGATGGCTGAAGACACGGGGAAAATCCATGTAGTAGCATTCACACTAGGGCTATTCCAGTATGGGGTAACCAGCATTACGAGGCTACTCAACACGTACATTGAGCTATTTCCCACGACCATCACTAGCTAGTATGCTCAGCAACGCCAACATTCTGTGACTTTGTTGCACATAATCACATTGATGCCCAAAGAGAAAGCTACTACGAGGGCATACCGCCTCTTCTCAATTGAGACAGGTGTACCGACTTTCTATCCACTGTAGAGATTTTAAAATTCCCAAAGTACTGGTAAGAGAGAGATGTTCAATGCTGAACAAAGGAGTGTGAAGAATGAATCTGCATCGGTCGCCTCCGTCCGAAATCCTGCGTCCAACTTCCAATAACATATTAGTACAACTACACTTACCATCGGGTCGTTCCACACTTCACCCCCAAACTCTCCACTTACTGCCAAGACCCCGATCTACTACTCCGACTCGTCCGCCTCAGGTGCTGCAGCCTTGTTATCTTCCAAACTCTTCTCATGGATAAACCACACCAAAAGTGCACTCCCAGCTACAAGCGCTATCGCAACCGCCAGTGCCACTCTTGTAGCCTTTCCGTAGCACTCTCGTACAATGCTCTTTAGAACAGGATCCAAAGCCCTGTAGTACGACAATCCAGCCCTTACTCGTTCTGCAATTTCAGCTGCGTTGTCATCGCCCTGCAACACACTCTGAAGAGTCTTGCGCAAGGTCTGATTGAATGCCGTTGCGCACAACGAGATGCCAAAGACCGAGCCGAGCGAGCGAAACAGGTAAGAACATGCCGTAGCAACTGCCTGGTCTGCATGTGATGCGTTTGCGATGAGTCCAATAAGCGTGGTTGTTATACCAACGCCGGTACCGAAAGAGCATATGGTTGTCCCCACTACCATAAGCGGGATACTCTCGATCAGGACCCCGGCGAAGAGCAGAATGAACGAGAGACCAACCGTGAGCGCTGTGTATGCCGAAACTGTGATCCAATAGTATCTTGCCGTCCGCTTCATGTAGAAGCCGCCAAAGAGTGAGCCTGTGACACTAAAGATAATGGAGGGAACAAGAAGAAGCCCAGCATGTGAAGCATCGTAGTCGCCGATAACCTGCCAGTAGAGGGGTATGTAGAACACCGCGGCTATCCAACCTCCCAATGAAAAGAAGTTGCAGAAGTAATACGCAGAAAGCGTTCTGTTAAGAATAATGTGACCAGGCGCAACCGGATTACTCGCCACATACTTCTCCACCAAAACAAACACACCGAAAAACGGTGTCATGGAGAGTCCAGCAATGGCAATCGGGTCCGACCAAGAAACATTCGATCCGCGATCCAGTCCAACAAGGAGTCCGAAAACCGCCAGAATCAATATCGCCGCCCCCAGAAAATCAACCTTCTTAACCTTCTCTTTCCAATGCGATTCGTCTCGTTCCGGGAGCTCCAATGCCAGCGCCACAGCCACCATAGCCAAAGCACACATGGGGCCCTGTGCCAGAAACGCTGTTCTCCAGCCAATACTATCCGCCAGCAGCCCACCTAGGGGCGCTCCCGCAGAAGCACCCACCGCATAAACCAAGTTGAGGTAACCCTGCCAGGTGCCCCTCTCCCTCAACCCGAGAATATCGCTCATCAGCACAGTAGTACAAACGCTCATCCCGCCTCCCCCTACTCCCGCGAACGCCCGCGCGGCAATAAGCTCTCCGATATTACGCGCTAGCCCGCATCCCACGGATCCGATGCCAAAAATCAGGTAAGCGGAGAGTAAGCATTGTTTTCGTCCGAAGATGTCACAGAGTTTGCCGTAGAGTGGCTGGAAGGCCGAGAGCGTGAGGAAGTAGCCGGTTGCGATCCAGGAGGTCGAGGAGAGGGCGTGCAGGTCTGTTCCTATGGTCCCATACGTGGTTATTATGAGGGTTTGGTCTGCGGCTGAGAGGAAAACCTAGAATGCAATTGTTAATTACAGATGTCTTTTTTCTTTTTTAGGTGCTCTGGAAATGGGATCAAGAGCGTTGGGGGCTTACACCGATGGCTAAGGCTGGGAATATATATTTCATGCGTTTTCGGACTTCTCGTAGGCCCTGGTGCTTGAAGGAATCGCCATGGCTGGCTTGTTGTTCAATGTCTCTTTCATGGTCAGGAGGTGGATTGCCTAAGAGTGGTGTCGTCTCGCCAAGAAATGCATTTGGGGGCGAAGGAGCATTCAGTGCCATTGCAGGGTGTTGTGTGCAGACAATCTCAAGACGCGGCCAACTCTAGAATGCAAGAACCAGAATGCGTGTACATGTATTTGTACCTTAGCGAAGCAGATGACTCAGAGCTATGGGTTGCCAAAGGGATATTCATGCAAAGTGCACATTTAATCACCGCTTATGTCCGTGGACGGAGCTATGATGCGATACGTAGGCGACTTTACTCAACTAAGCACGGGAACTCGCGATAACGCGTACATATCACGTTAGCACGCAATTGGAGGAGCAATTTATTTTTGAGAAGGAGAAGGTATCGTGACTTAAAGCTTTGCATATCCGGTAGAGCAAACAACATATGAGGAGATAATACATTAAACCGCCATGTCCAGGTCGTAACGAAGAAAACCATCGTCGCCATAGCAACAGCGACATCACGTTGTATATTCGTTTTTATGAGCTTACGCGGGCTGGTACCTCCGGAGCTGGAAATAATGTTAGCGTCCAATTCTAAGAATGAGGCAGGACCAAGGTGACTTACATCCAGACTCAGGTATTTACTAGACATCTTCCCTTGATCCCGCATAACACCAACCAATGTTTCACTTTCTTGGAAGAAGCCCGCCTTGAGGGAAATGACAATGAACTGCATACCAGGGCTAGCATGTTCGCGCACATACTTGGCCACACGGCTGACATTGACATTATCCAGCGCCGCGTCAACTTCGTCAAGGACAAAGAAAGGAGAGGGCTGATAACTGTGGATAGCAAACAGTAGAGCCAGCGCAGCAATCGTCTTCTCACCACCAGAGAGATGCTCCATGTCACGGAAGCGCTTGAGCGGCGGCATGGCGTGGTACTTGAGACCAGCAAGATACGGCTCTGTGCTGTCTTCCATATCAAGATACGCCTGTCCTCCCAGCGGGAACTGTGGCGATTTTGTCAGATCCTTGTATGTGCCACCAATGTTCTCTGAAATGTGGTTAAATGCCTTCATGAAAAGATCATAACGCTTCGTCTTGACTTCCTCGAAGGCCTTCTTTGCTGCTGCTGCACGCTTACGTGTCTCGGCGAACGCCTCGTCAATGGCCTTTAGACGCGTTTCGGTGGCTGCCAGACGCTCAGCAGCACGCATATTTGGCGTGGCCTTGTTGATGTCAGTCTCCAGGTTGGTAATGACATCGGTCAGCTTAGACTCCGCAGCCTTGAGGCGGGTTCCTGCCTGAGATTGGACACGCTCATCTTGGTCGTCCTCCTGAAAAGTGTTAGTAAGATCCAAGCAACTGTACATATTTGGCACACTCACGCTCTCAAGTATCTCAACAATCTCCGTCTTCAGCTCCTCTTCCAGCTCCTCAAAGTCCACTTCTATGCCGTAATCGTCGACCTCTGCAGGTTGGATCTGGGTCGAATCAGGGTCCTCGTCAATGTCCATTGCATCGGCGTCCGGTCGCGGCATGTCAGTCATCGGTAACGATGTCAGTGGACGTGAGTCTTCAGTGAGCGGAATCTTGATCTCATTGACACGGCATTCCTTGAGCACATTGTATCGGTTGGTTGCGCTCGATTTGATCTTTGCATCCTCTTCATCAACCTCCTTGAGTACGTGTTTGACCTTTTCGTTCCGCTGATCAAGGGCGCGGCGTGCTTCCTTGACAGCAGCGACTCGTTCGGCAAGCTTCTCTTCCAAGCGCCTTCTCCTGTCTTGCAATGTCTCGAGCTCAGCTTGAAGGACATCTCTTGCGCCTTGCAGCTCTTCTTGCTTGGCCTGAAGCTCCGTGATGTCGGCGGTTTTGCGTTTGATTTCGTCCTCTGCTTGCTTGAGACGTTCTTCAACACCGCGCAGTGATGAGTCGACTTGCTTCATCAAGTATTGAAGTCTGCTCCGCTGTTTGCTGAACTCGAGACGCTTTTCGGCTGCTTCTTGCTGTACGGTACCTTGTTGGGCCTCGTAGTCGCGGATAGATGCATAACCAAGTCGCTGACAGAACGCGGCAAAGACTTGGTCATTGACCTGGTTGACGGTATCTTGGTAGCGCCTAAGCTCGTCTTCTCGACTTTGCAATCGCTGTGCCTGCTTGTCGTAGTTGGGACGAACACCCTTCAGCTCAGCCTTGTGATGCGCGAGCTCCTTCTTCACACTCTCAATGTTACGGCTGAGTGCTCTGGCTTCCTCCTTGGCGCGAGCAATCTGCTCCTGCAGATCAAGGAGCTCGACCTCGAGTGTTTGCTCTTGAGTGTATTGACGATCTTGCTTGGGAAGCGCACGAAGTTCTTCTTCATACTTGTTCCTCTTGTCTACTAGAGTTTGGTAGGAACGCTCGTCCCACTGCTGCTCGCTCGAGTCATCATCCCTATCAAGCTCACCACCCGTCTGTGTACCGCCCTTTCCGATGACGCGACCGTCTAGAGTGACAGCCTTGACCTCAATCCGCTTGGAGTACCTCAGCTCTTTTGCAAGCTTCTCTGTGTTACAGATCATAGTGTTGCCACATGCGGCTGTCATAGCTCGCTCATGCTTAGGTTCGTAGTTGATGCAGTCAATGGCAAGACGCATGCCTTCGTGCATTCCCTTTAGCTGAGGGTCGACGGCTTGGATCTGGATCGAGTCCAGAGGGTTAAAAGACATGACGCCGATGCGCTCAGCCTTGAGATAATCGATACATGCTTTGGCAGTGGCCTCAGTGTCGACAATGACCGTGTCCATCTGGTGTCCCAGCACGCGACCTATGGCCTTGCGGTACTTTTGCATCTTGGGCGTGATGAGGTCCTTGTATCGGCCATGCACCTTCTCAGACCCAAAGCGGGTCTTGAGGCGCTCAATGGTCCTGCGAGCCTCTTGTTGCTTCCTTGATTCGCGGCGGCTGCCTTCGACTATGCTGAGTTGCTTGAGGACCTCCTGCAGAAGCTGGTTCTTTTCGTAGTATTGCATCTCAATCTGCTTCCGGTCGGCTCTGAGTCTGTCCAGTTCTTGCTGCTTGGCGGCTCTCGCGCTTTCGAGCTCTTGAGTCTGCGCCTTGGAAGACCGCTGGCGTTCCTCGAGCTGACTGATGTCGGCGTTCAGTCTCTCAACGGCCTTTTCGTGGCTTTCGACGCTCTGCTGCAGGTTCCTGACATGATCTCTGTCCGTCTCGACTTCTCGCTTAAGCTTGTCTATTTGCATTTGGTCGCCGTGGGTGCGCTTCAAGACTTCGCTGCGCAGGCGGCCGTATTCTTGGAGGTCTTGTTCTGAAAGCTCGCGTCCCTGGTTCTGGGCAGCAGCCTTGAAGTCATCCTCCCATTTCTTCTCAGCCTTATGCACAAGCTCAAGGTCCTTTTGGCACTTTTCGACAGCCTTTTTTTCAGCGTCTCGCTTCTTCCTGAGCTCGTCAATCCTGCTTTCATACTTTCGGCGGGTTTCGTTGGAAAGACGAATCTTCTCTTCAATCGGCGCAAGCTCATTCGAGGTATCCTCGATTTCCTTTTCTTTGGCTTTTGTATTTTGATCAGTCTTGGCTAGATCTCGCCTGATCTTGGCCTCGGCCTGCCTTTCCGCCTCGTGTCGCTGGTGGTACTTTTCTACGCTGCGCTTGTGCTCCTTGAGCTCTTCCTGGTGGCTTGCAATCTTGCTCCTCGCCCTCTCCATGACTTGCTCGTAGAGATAGAGCTTCCACAAGTTCTTTGTGACAACAGCTTGGTCTCGCTCAGCCAGCTTCTTCTCGTACTCGTCAGCTTCGGCCTTTTGATCCTGGTATGTCTTGAGTTCTCCATTGATTGCGCGACGTTCGTGTAGATGCTTGGCATTATCTTCGGTTGCGGCCTCGGACTCTTCCTTGAGGCGATCGTACTCGGCCTTTTGCTCCAGACTGCCCGAGATGCGCTCAACTTGCAGGGTAAGCTGCTCGGGTGCCGTCGTGGCAAGCTTTTCAACGTCTCCCTGGAAGACGAGAAAGTTTCTCGCCTTGACCAGAATGCTGTGCTCTTCCAACGCGTCATTGTACTGCTTCTGAGTCACAACTCGGTTGTTGATACGATATTCACTGGAGCCGGAGCTGGTGATGGTGCGCTGCCACTCGTGCGTCTGCTCTGCGTCGTCCTCAAAGACGGCCTTGACCCATGCATTCTGGGGATCGATGCGCTGGCTGCTCGTCTGCGATTCGCCATTCTCTTGGGAATCGCCATTGGAGGCTCCATTGGAGTCGGCAGCTTCAGTTGCGGTGCCGTCTGCTGCAATACGTGCTTCCTGGATGATTCTGCCGCGATACACCATATCCTTTAGCTTGTCGGAGCGCAGATGAGACGACCTAACTCCCAGGACAAAGGAGATGGCGTCCATGCTGTTTGACTTTCCGGATCCATTGGGGCCGATGATTGAGGTGAAGTACGAGTCGCCAAAGAGCAGCGTATGCCGTCCCCGGTACGACTTGAAGTCTGGGAAAATTAGCAGAGCACACCACGTGCGCGTAGAGACATAACTTACTGTATATCTCGAGCCGCACAAGCTTGCCCATGGTTGCGGATTTGTGTGGTGGGATGTCGCGGGGGTGGATGGCGACGGCCGCGGTGAAGCGCGTACCTGGTCGCGTCAAGCAGCGCACAAAGCGCCCGCCGTAGTTGGCGTCTCAGGTGGGCCGCAGTGACGAAACCAGGCCCTCTGCCCCATGTGCTTGGTTGATTCACCGTACATTGTCATACACGCACAGATATACTCTCACGTATATCCCGCATATACACTCTTGTACATACACCAACACCGCCCATACACAAGTACACAAACTGTGTATATTCTCTGCTCATCAGGCACACGCGTTACTCATCCTCGTGACCTTTTGTCCTCACACGCCCCCCGCCGCCGTAGTGCCACCACCAGAACAACGTTGTCTAGCTTGCCAATCAACAGCTGGCATTTACCCACGATTTTTTTCTCGACAGCTGCGAGACGGAACAGCATCGAACCCATACAGAACCCCCGCAAATCGCTCCTGTCTTGTCTTGTCATGAGAACATAGGCCCTGACTGCTTCCGACTCAAGCTGCCCTCCATCACTGTACGCTCCTCCCCCAAGTGTCGGTCCTTTTTCTCCACCATGGCCCACGCCAGGCAAACTGGCTGCTATACACCTGCTAACAGCTGTCATGGCTCCAGTCTCTCCTCCTCGCTCCCTCAAACGACTCCTCCACCGCCGAACCCCTTCGAATCTCGAGATTGTCCCGGAAGAAGTGCCTGCCATGTCAGCTCCAGACGATGACGCTGGCCCTGTGCCCCCCAAGTCCCACTCAGAGCCCCAGCTAGGAGTCTCTGCCCTCTCAGCACGTCCACTGCCTGGCGACTCTACTCACGCAGGTGCTGCTTTCCTCGACGACACTGCGCCCTCATCCGTAAACCAGCCAACTTCTAGCCCCGGCCTCTCCCGCACTGCATCCTTCTCCAATAGCTCCTACCATGACGAGTCCGACCCTGAAGATGCCTCCTTCTTCCCGCCTGTCGAGAAGCTCACCATGTTTGACTTTGTCGAGAACCTTGCTCTCGCCCAGCGCATTGAGAAGATACAGAGCTCCATCTCCAACCAGACGGAGCGCATCAGGAACCAGGCAAAGAACAGGGGCATAACCAGAGATCGCGTTGTCGAGGAGTGGCGACGCAGAGTGCCAACTGAAGCCGAGCAACTCGACAAATACAAGAAGCGCATGCGCCGCTCGGTCGACCGTCTGAACCAGCGCTGGAACGAGTCTCTCACAGTGACTGCGCGCGAAAAGACATCCTTCATCGCCGCTGTCTTGAACATCTTTGTCTCGGGATACTTGGTCGGATCCCATCCAGAGTGGTTCCCTCACTGGTACACGGCCCAGCTGCTCTACTTTATGCCCATCCGCTTCTTCACGTATCACAAGAAGGGCTACCACTACTTCTTGGCTGATCTGTGCTACTTTGTCAACATCCTCTTGGTCCTGACCATGTGGGTTTTCCCTCAGTCTAAACGACTCTTCATTTCGACGTACTGTCTTTGCATGGGAAACAACGCCGTAGCCATCATCATGTGGCGTAACTCGCTCGTCTTTCACAGCATGGATAAGGTTGTCAGGTTAGTATTGCATAGTCGTGTTTATATTCACGTACTTACTTCTCTAGTCTTTTCATTCACATCATGCCATGCGTCACCCTACACTGCATCGTCCACCTGCTCTCGCCAGAATATCAACAAGGACATTATCCCGCCATCTACAACATTCGCCATTCGGACCCAACCTCGCCCCACCACTATGGTCTCTTCCAGATGATGCTCTGGGCCACTTGTCCGTATGCGGTTTGGCAGCTATCCTACCACTTCCTCATCACGGTGCGCCGTCGCGATCAGATTGCAGCAGGTCGACCAACCAGCTTCACGTGGCTACGAAAGTCGTACGCCAAGACCTGGATTGGCAAGATTGTCCTTGCACTGCCCGAGTTCCTTCAAGAGCCCGCTTTCATGTTCATCCAATACAGCTATGCTGTCCTCACCATGATTCCCTGCCAAGTGTGGTTCTGGTACCGCTGGCCTAGTGGTCTCTTTCTGAGCATCGTCTTCGTCTGGAGCGTCTACAACGGGGCTACCTACTACATTGACGTGTTTGGAAACCGCTTCCAGAAGGAGCTTGAACAGCTCAAGAAAGACATGGCAAAGTGGCAGTCTTCGCCCGAGGGAGGCTTCACGCCTTATACACCTGCAGGTGATAATGCAGAGAAGCAGCTAGGTTACATTCCTCCACTCGAAGGCAGCACCAGCGTGAAGCCGGTTGATGGAGAGACGCGGGAGAGGAAGTAGCATGCTGATATTGATTGATTTTTTTTACAGATTTACAACGAGCATGTAGTGAACCTAGGTCTCCTTTGCGAGCTGCGAAGTCTATTTTAGAGTGAGGGATCCCTGTTTGGCGTCGGAGTTGCGGGTAGTGTTTTTATTCTTTTGAGTAATGGGACTTTTATTGGGTTACGGGATGCATGTGCTATTTTCGACTGGTTGATTAGATATACCCTCTTTCCTTCGCTTGGTCTGCGTCGTTGTTATCCGTAGCATGCGTTTAATATTAGAGTTGGTTATTCTCGATTTGCGTCGAAGTTATGCAGTGGGTGTGAATGAGGTAGTGTGTACGACTTCATCAAGTGTGATTATTAAATAAATTCATTACTGCGTGGATTATGTGATATTACATACCGAGAACATGCAACCCCATCCTTTATCCCATCATCACCCCCTCCCATCCTCCACTCACCTATCTATGCCCCGCATTCTCCGGAAACTTATACCTCTCCGGCTCGCCCTCAATCCCATTCTCCTCCCTCCACTGCCTACGATCCACATCACTAACGCCCGGTCCCCTATACACACTCCCATACAACCCACTCGCCCACTCTTTGCCGGGCCCCTCTTTACTCTTCCTCGTCGCCCTCCTCCTATACCACTTCCCATAACACAAAAGATAATACAACCTAAAGCACAAAAACGCAAAGCGATCTCTCTCCAAATCAGCGGGATACTCGGCACCGAGATCAACAGCAGCAGCGATGCCGCTCATAACCGCGACTTCATGCGCATTTATCAGCGTCCAGGCTGCCGCGAAGCGCGTGTGGCGGCGTCCTTGCAACAGCCACATCCATGGGACTACGAAAGCGTAATGGGTCCAGGAGTGGCAGAGCTGGTGCCACCAGTCTTTTCGGATAATCTTGTCTGGATTGATTTCATCAATGGACCAGAGATGGCCGTCGCGTTCTTTGTTGAGGTAGATTGTTTGGAAGACGTGCTTGTCGAAGGGGACCGAAGGGGGGAATTGGGATTGGTAGTTTGTGCAGTCGAAACACATTTCTAGTTTGGAGCGGTCTGAGGGGTACATTTTTATGTAGTACATTGGTTTGAAGTTTTTGGCGGCGTAGGCGTTGCGTTGGGATTGGTCCATGGTGCTGAGGGTGGAGACGGCACGTTGTTCGGTGTAGAAGTTTTCGTAGTGGTTGAGCATGTAGGTCGAGTCCCAGTGGGTTACGGTTATGTCGTTTGAGAATTTTGCGGAGCCGAGGACGTAGGATTCGCGGTGGGAGGCGGTGGGGGTTAGGATGCGTTTGGCCGTGTCGGCGCTGGGTGGTTGTTAGGATCGTAGGAAGATATGGTGTTAGGGGATTTGAGGGGTAACTTTACAGAACGCAGAGAATCAACTCATCATAGTGCTCTTCCTTCTCCTGTGCATCGGCGTCGTAATTGTGCTCGTCGTCATATGGCACATGGGCACTGTTGGGGTTATGCGCATCAGGCATCGGCGAGCGCTTGATCAACCGGACTGTAACACCAGTCTTATCGCGCTTAACAACTTGCGTTACTTCTGTCGAAAGCCGGACGTTGACACCCCTCTTAATCAAATCCTGTCTCCAGCGCTCGTAGAATTCGCTGAACTTGGGGAAGACTACCATCGGCGGCAGGTTGCTCGCAATACTGTGTTTGTCTGGTGGATACCACATTCCGTACGTGGGACTCGTGCAGAGCCGCTCAAGAATGATGCTAGGGACGTTTGGGGTTTCGTTGCCGGTACCGAGGAAGAGGGCGATCATGGGCATGGCGACGGTGTTTGTGAATTCCTCGGAGAACATGAACATTTTGAAGAGGACCTTGATGGGGATGAGGGCGAAGAAGAGTTCGAACCAGCGGACGATTTTGAGCATCGTGTTGAAGCGTCGAATTTCCTTCTGGTGCCGTGCGAGGAGCTCAGTGGGGAAGACATTGGTCCAGAAGATGTCGTCTTTGCCGAACGAAACGTGGAGATTGACGGGGTCGGCGTGGTGGCCTTGTCGTGCAAACATGGTCATGGTGTGGTGGAAAATGTAACTTCCACCTTGAACACCTTGGTTGAGCCATGCGGCGCCATGACGCTCCTTGTCAATGTCAATTGAAAAGGCCTGGCCTCCACAGTAATCTACTGCGTCGATGAGTGTAACGTCGAATTTGTCGGGGTGCTCAGAGAGATGGTGAGCACACGACATTCCTTTTTCACGTCAGTAACGACATCATCTACATCAATCACATGTCCGTACCAGCAGCTCCCGCTCCCACAACGAGCACTCTCTTCTTCTTCCCATCCTTGTTGTTGCCGCCCGCCATGTTCGTCGTAGGCAAAATAGGTTCCGTGTCGCGTGAATGTGACATCAGAAAAGAAGAAAAGTATTAGCACTTTAGCTGCCTACTTCAATGCCACGAGCGACCACACGGCTTGTATTTGTTCGTAGTTATCACGACATAAATGTCGAGCAGATGCGTCATGGAGTTCCAAAAGCGGAATAGACAGATCTGATCGATCGTACATGCGGCACGCCGATCGCTCCTGGCGGCTCGCTAATCATCAACACCATACTAGAATGTGATGTCATTTACGCTGTACTTCAAAACTCATGACGGCAAGATAAATTCGCTAGTATTATGTGCTGTCTTCCAGCACAGGTTCAACTTTGAATTATATAGTATGTAACCCTTTTAGCGTCTTGGACGTCCAATCCTCGACATCAGTGTTAGCCGTCTCAATGGTCTGTTCAGCGCCCGAAGGGGGATCTGGCATAGCAGCAAATGCCACGGGGTTTGTCACATGGCCCAAATCGAAGAAATCTAATCCTAGGTCCGCGGTCGCGTTTGTGAACCAGTCCTCACCCAGATCTGCGAGCTGCATTACGTGCTCGACACCTGCGTCGCTCGCCGCGGGGGCTACGGGCTCGAGTAATGCATCGTGCGGCGTGTCTGTCGGCGTCGGCGACTTTCTGTCAGCAGCAACCTCTGTTATATTAGCAAACTGCAGCGCGATCCGGCTGAGCGTCTTATAGGTAGGCGCAAGAGTTTGCATGTCGCGGATTTGATCTAGTACGGCCCGTACAGTCGTCTTGCGCTCAGTATCCTTGGTTGACTCTGCCTGTCCCTTTGGACGGGCGAGAAAGTCTGCGCATACAATCATGATGGAGTGAAAAACATAGTAGAAATCCAGCCACGAGTATCCGATGATGCCAAGCTCGATGCCGGCCCTGATGCATTGCAGGCTTTTGTGCACAGACTCGACGCAGTCTTCGGCCAGTGCAAGGGTTGTTCGCCAGTCGTCAGAATCGGTAAACATTTCGTTTTCAAGAAAGGAGAGGCTACTTTCAATCTTTTGTACCAGGAAATCCCGGGTAACCATGCAACGCGTGTGGTAGTAGTAAATATGCAGCAGCAATACCATAGATCTGTGCTCCGACGTCAATGGATAGCAGTCCAGCGACATGTTTGGAGGAACGGTTGCGATAAAAGCGTCAAGTTCTCGCAGTAAAGCTTTTGCAACAGCAGGCGTCGGTGAGCGTTCTTCAGCTGAAGTTTGATCAAAATAGGCACGTTGCCGGATACTATAAGAAAGGCGGACGAGATCGAAGCAAAGACTAGCAGAGTCTCCGGATATACTTGGTTGCCCAAATGTCTNGAATTCTGGCATATGAAGTGACATTTCGCGATCATCAATCGCGGTCGGGCGGCCAAGAACACTGCACAAGGTTTTTTCAAAAATGTAAATGGTCCACCAGACTTGGCGGCGTATATTCCGCTCGACAAACTCGAATTCTTGATTCGAAGCGTCTCGATGCATTCCCATGGTAGTTGCCTGCGACACGTCATTAATCAAAGACTCACTCTACCTGATCAGTTACTAACCATGCGTGCAGCGAGGCCTATAAGCAGCCATGAACTGCTCTTTTGCCCAACGCTGTGATGGTGCATGTTGAGCAGAACAAGTGCCTGGACATTATCCAGGCAGGCCGTTGTTAGGAGCCGCCGAAAGTAGTTTTTAGAAAATTTGAGGTACTTGACTCGCAGCTCACGGGCTTGCTTAGAGTCGAGTCCGTCCAGTTGCTGGCATCCAAACGAGAAGACCAGGGCTAATGCCACCAGCCAGCCAATGTCCTTGCATTCGTCGATCAATTCGGCTTTGCGAGAATATGTTGCTTCCATACGAAGATGGAACACGCTTCGATTGAACAAAGGCATGTACATGTGAATCCGGCTAAAGTAGGCAGACACCAGGGCCTCGGCGGTAGCTTTCGGCGGTAAGAGAGTCCCGATGGAATCTCTGCTCAGACTATGCTCGCGAGACAGAAACTCATCACTGGAATCATCCAGTTCTGACCTGGATCTTTTGCGACTTCTTTTGCCAGACAGGGGAAGTTGAATTGTTTCAGGCAAGGTAAGGTCTTCGTGGGATGGGTCAGTGCTGCTGCGTTTCAGAATGGAGCCAGAGTTGCTGGATGGGTCTGAGATGAAAGAGTGGGCGCTTGCGCCCGTGATTGATATCCATCGAGCAGCAAGAGCACGTATTGTCGTGGCAAGGCGAAAACTGCTCGAGGGACCAAAGTAGTGGGAGGTACGTCGGTTTGCTCGCAAGAGTTCTTCTGCCCGAGAGGGGGGTCGCTGGGGATCGGAGAGGGTGATTGGGCGATTATGTTTGCTTTTGATGGGTGGAAAATCAGTGTGAGAAGAATGGGTAGTGTCGTGTGTGGTGGCATATAGACCAGCGGGTGCCTGTCGGGAAAAGGAAGATGCCTGAAAAGGCTGAATTGGAGGTTGTGGTTGCGGTTGTGGTGGTAGTTGTTGTTGTTGTTGTTGATGTTGCTGCTGCTGAAGTTGTTGTGGTTGTTGCTGCGACGACGACGAGGAGCGCTGGTCGCTGGCAGTGGCGGTGGTGTTGAAGATGTTTGCCGGAGTAAAGTCATCATTGGCGGGCATGGTGATATTCCTCGCGGCCGCGATCCTAAACAGCGTCTCTGTATCCTGGACATTATCGTTGGGGAACAGGCCCTTGACCAAGGCCTCGAGCGCCCTATAGCGTAAACTCAGCGTCTCGACACTGCCGTAGACGCGCTGCTTGCGGGGGAGTTTGGATTCGCAGGCCACACCACTGGCCTTGCAATCGGCGCATGGCATGTCAGCATTGTCGCGAATGCATCGCGCCCGGCGGATCTTGCATCGGTCGCAGCTCACCAGCGCCCGCTTGCGAGACGAGCCAGACTTTGCCGGGCGTTCCGTCATGGCCGTGTCGCGTGCGAGGCCGGGCGCAAGGGGATGTGGAGGAGTAGGTTCAGTGAGGGGAGTGAAGGGCTTCCGGGAGAGGAGAAGCACTACTCTACGAGCGCGACGCCATCGCGGCAGATCAGGGTCTAATCTCGTTTCTGGCTTCTGGCTTGGGGCAATTGGCAGCAGAGTTTGTCGTTACGTCGCTCTGGGTCGAGCGGAGCGTCTTCCGCGAAAAAGCACACGTACGCACATGCCCGCAGCTGACAAGTGGCCCAGCAGAGCCGATGTCTTTATATGTATCCAACGCTGTACATATCTCTGTACATGTGTAGAGTACATCCATCCATAAGACAGACATACTCGGTCCCATTGCCATGACCGTTCGGCGTGAAATATTGGCGCGTCTTAGTCTGCTCCATACGAACTTCCCCTTTCGGCCCTTCTCATATACCCCGACAGTCCGGCAACTCCGGCCATGGCCAGTTGGAGCACCGCGCAACACGCCCCAACAGCCACTAGCACGCACCAACCCATCTCAACACCCCCCGTCCTGGCGACAGATCATCTAGGCGAGGCGCTTGCAAAAGACAAGTAGGTACAACATTAACCAAGAATCTTCAAAACGCCTTGCTCGCTGCCCAAGCCACTCCCGCTACTCTACTCTACTCTAGATACACAGGGATGCCATACACCACCGCAGCCGCCCCGTTGAGATATCGCAGCACACAGGCCTTGCGTGCTTCCCGGACGGCTTCGTCCAGCCCGACTCCCCTCGGTCTCTCGCCCTCAATCCCACCATCGCCATCTGCTGCCCTGGCAATCTTTTTGCCCTTCTTTGCGCTTTCCCCACTTCGCACTCCCTCCACCTCGTCTATCAATTGCCCAGCTCTACCTTTGCCTTTAGCCTTCTTTGCAGGCGTCTTGCCCACACTCTTCACCGGACCACCACTGTCGTCTTGCGACTCGGGCCACAGTCCCCATAGCTCGCCAGCCTTGACGGCAAAGCGATCGCAGTCCTTGTCCGTGACATCCCAAAGCATGCCCACAACAGCCGGTGCGCCGGCAGTAAGATAAGAAGCGAGCATCCCCGACGGTTCAAATATGCCGTTTTCACTAAGGTGGACGGAAGAGCAGCCAAACAGTAGCGTCGTCGCACATCCTGCTTTCCTGCCCTCCTCGTCTCCTTGGCCTGCATACAGTCGTCGTACTGCCTTGGACTTGACATATTGTGCACCGCTGCCGTGACCAAAGTACAGCACTAGATCCTTTTCTCGCAGACTGCTTTCAAACTCCTTTTCTGATGGCGCCCGATTGCTAATGCGATCCCATGATCCCTGGAGTTGGTCTAGACGCGGCGCGATCGTCTTAGATGTGTGTGCCAGGTCCCCTGATGGGTTGAGCATGCTCGTCCCCCTCATATTGGAGCAAATGTAATGGCCAGCCGGCGCAGTCTCCGCTTTGGATCCGCACGGTCGTGCCGAGAGCAGCCTTTCGCGAAGGGCCGCAAGCGAGGGTAGTCTAGAGATTGATAGCTGCTCTAGGCATGGCAGCGACTCCCATGGGAACCCGTGCAAGTCCTTATCCAAAATGAGTATCGTGTGACGGCAAGCAGCTTCCAGCTTGTGTGATGCACTATGGTACGCCCGGAGAGCTTCATACGTCTCGACCACCATGGCATCAAAATCGAGTTCGTCATATGCATTGCGCTCACCGTTGAACTGGAGGATGTCAACAACAAAGTAAATCAGATCCATCAGCGCTTCATCCAAGTCGAGTTCCTCGTTGGTGGCGTCCCCAAGCCCAATAAACAGCTCCAGAACTCGTGCATCCAGTACCGGTCGCTTTTGTTGACTCTTCTTTTTCCGAGACGGCAGGTGATCGTTCAGGATGTTCTCCAGTGACTTGCGGAACTCTGCAAGCAGAACTGGTTGTCTCTCGTGCTGTGAAAAGACACCCTTGAAGCCGCCAAGCCAGATGTTCTCCATGTTGATGAGTAGCTCGTGTAGCCGCGTGTCGAGAGCCTCACGTTCAGCCCACCACTGTTGTCTTGCCTCCCTCGAAGTCATATCCTTGGCGCTTCGCGTGCTAAAGTCGCTGAGCTCGATAATCTCGTCAAAGTCTCTCTTTCCGTCGTCAAACGAGAACTCGTCCTCGTCCATGTCGCGAGAGGCGTGGCGAGCCAATGGCAGGCGCAACACAAATGGCGACAGACCCTTCTCGAAACGAGTAATGAAGAGCTCATCGCGGGCTTCACTAAGAGCCAACGATACCGCATTCCACGTCTCCGGGATGATGTCAACGTAATCTTTTTGAAACTCCGATACTGACGCAAATGAAAAACTTGATGCATCTGTCACCGGCCATTGCATGCACTCGTCGCGGGATAATTGCTCTTTTTCCGCCTCAGTCGACTCCTGCACAAGCCTCAATGCGTTGACCTTGGGTAGTTCACTCATGTATGCCGCATACATCGGGTGTAGAGAGCCTGGCAGGTCGCTACCCGCCACAGCTGACATGAGCACCGTAACATGACCCAGCGCCATAGAAGTCTGGCGGAATAAATGGTTCGAGCCATTGGTGGCACACAGAGCATGCGCTTCTACAAGTCTGTCTCGTGCTTCGCGGAGTGTGTCCATAAAGTCCTCTTTTGGTTGCTTCTTTGCTCGGCCAGCTTTGCTAATAGCAGAAGACACAAGAGTCCCTTTCTTGACAGGCTCTACCTCGGAAAGCCTGCAGTCTTTGAGACCAAAGGCAGGGAACGCAATTGTCGACTCTGGAAGTGTGTTGACAGTGAAGTCTTCCGCAATCTGCTTTGCGCTCTGTGCAAGCCTCGCTTTGAAAGTAGCCCACATGTGCGATACTTCCTGGTTCAACCCGTTCTGCAGGTCTTCCGCTTGACCAAGAAGCTTCAGAGCTTCAGTGAGATCGTCGTGTAGGATATTCGCAAGTACAGCTCGATCCCTCATGCTTGCTTGGAAGACACACAATCCGGCACACTGGTCGGTAGTGGTCGATTCCTCTGACGCTGGTGGAGCACTAGGTTGGCGGGTTAGTTTCGGTGCCGTCTTTCCAGCTCGGGTTGTAGCTGCTCTAGGCCGGGTACCGGTGGCAGACTTTGCGGTTGTCCGTGGTGCGGCTTTGGCCGCAGGCTTACGGCCTCTTGTTGCCGGTTTTGCTTTGGTTACCTTGGTATCCACTGTCAAGGACGACAACTGATCTGTAAGCGCATCAACCGGAGGGGAAAAAGACTCTAGAGTCTTCATGTATACAGGCGAACTCAAATCTTTCAGAAGCTGCTCCATGAGATTGTATGACTCTATCTCCTGCTCATACTGACCATTCCAGTGATGTGTTCTGGCAACAGCAGAATAGTAGCCGGCAGTCGATAAGCATTTGCGTGAAGTAGGCGCATCCAGCGATTTCAGAATAGCCTCAGCTTTATCGGGTCTGTTGCTCTGGGCCCAACAGTCAGCACGCCAGCTGGCATTGTCAGTCATGAGTGTCGCAGATTGTGTTGCAGAAGCAACCTTCTCAGCTTGTTCAGCGACATAAATGGCCTCATGCAGCAACCCTTGGTGAGCAAAGATTTGCGATTGCTGCATTAGAGCCCGGTACATGGATGGGACCAAAGCCCAGAAGTCAGGTCCGCTAAGGGCGCCGTGGGTGACAGACATGACAACAGGTACCCCCTTGTCAATACGGAGAGAACTCAACGGGTCAAACGCTGTTTTGCTCGGCCCATCTGCTTCGGACTCAAGTTCGTCTGCAGATGCAGCCTTCTTGGCGTTTGACCGCGATTCGAGGGCAGCCCAAATACGCCGATTCAGTGTGATACACTGCCTCGCATGCCGAGCCGCTTCTTTGTATGATCCAGCAGCAGTAGCAAACAACGAATGAACATAGGAAGCATCTGCCACTATTCTGTTGAACCGCAACCGGCCGGAGAGTGTGGTTGTCGGCTTCGCCAAGTCCAAAAACTTGGAGTCTCCAAGTGCAATAGATTGGGCATTTTCCATTATCGCCGAACTATGGTATATCAGTACACGATAAGTACAGAATGAAGATTTTTCCTTACCATTTCGCCGGATTCCCTACACCCAGCAGATATTCTGCATATGCCACGTGCCACTCCAGTCTGGCATCGATAGAACAGGTCCGGGATTTGATCAGTGCTTCAGCTTTAGCAAGGCAGAGGCCTGCTTTCCCAGTGTAACCAAGACGCAGCAGCTGTAGCCCCAAAGCGCACAGTGTGGTGAGGAGCTCGGATCCGTCGGCACTTTTTTGAAGTTCAAGAATGTTCACTAAAAGATGGAGAAGCGGCAATGCGAGGTATTCTTCGCCCTTTGCATTGAGATATTCTGCACATGCATGAAGATCTTTTAGCCAAACATCTATGTCGTCAATTCGATCACTCAGTGTATCCCAGGAAGATGCAGAGGTGACGAGAGACTCCCACGTGGCAAAGCATTGCTGAAGAGTTGACGTAGGAGGAGATGATTGCTGCATCGAGGATTTGAGATCGTAAAGTGCTTTTAGATGAGCTTGATATCCCTTCAATGCTTGGTCTTGAGACTGCTCTGTTCCTACGTTCTCGTCCCAATCAAAGCCAGAAGTTTGGTTGTCTTGTGACAAGATTTGCGGATCGCTTTGTAGAAGCTGAAGAACGGCGATAGACGACCTCAGTCGTCGAACCGGGTAGGTTTCCTGGGCGTACACTATACGGAGTCGTTCGATCAAACTGCGAATTGATTTGTCTAGGGTCGAGTCCCATTTCCGATTTTTCGACAAAGTTCGTAAGTTAAAGTGCAACTGCAACTCCAATAAAGCTCCTTCGACGTCTGCATGAATTGTGCCAATGTCAAAATATGCGATTTCATCCGTCTGGCGAATCCCAAACTTTAAGAACGAATGATGGTAACCTTTCAGAAGCCTGGCAATTACACTAAATGGACCGGTATCGCTGAATGTTGTGGAAAGAGATGACTTTGCTGCAGTTTCGGAAAGCTGTTGCAGGATATCTGCAGTGAGGTGACTTTGTATACATTGTCGAAAAGCGTCGCGGGAGCTTTCAACTTGGCCGAGATCTTCCAAGGTCTCACCTAGTTGCTCAAGCTTCATCGAGAGAAGTCCGCTCTCTTGCTCAGTTGGGTCTCTTGATTGTACAAGGTCAATGGAGCGCCGCATAGGCATGACCAAGGTATCGGGTTTGCAGCGGGCCCTCCGTAGCTGCATATAGAGAGCCCAGTAACCGTTGGATAATTTGACAAAATATGATCCAATGATAGATTCGGTTTCCTCGGCTGAGACAGTTCCATCCTTGGTCTCTTCCTCGAAACGACGAAGTACGTGTGAGCATTCTTGTAACAATATGTCGTAATCTTTCCACTCGTCCTCAGTCTTGATGGTCTGTTTGCAGCATGCCATGACCGAGTCAATGGCACCCTTCATGTATTTCCAGGCCAAAGTTACCCGTTCGTGGTGCTGACCTTGTGTTTTTGAGTCGGCTTCATGTGGGTATGTTGTACCCACAAACCTTGCTGAGAAATGAATACTTGCAGCGATGACTGATACAGCCTGCTGCGCTACGGCCAGCTTTTCGTCGTCGTCTGAAGGCTTAGACAGACGTGCAATAAGGATCTTCGTTGCTGCTCGTCTCAGGGCATTGACTTCTGCAAAGAGCGACTCGAGATCCGCCGCTGACCCACCCAGGCTTCCATTCAAGGCATCGAGGGCATTCGTAATTACGTCGTTCAGATCATTTTTCTTTTCGCCCTTGACGTAAGCCTCTATAGTGATGGTAGCTATTCGTATCGTCCTCGCTGTTTGCTTCACGGCGGGAGTTTTGGACGTGGTGGAGGAAGTTGAAGAGCCTAGCCATCGAAGAGCCTGGTCAGACAATCCCGCAGCCTGGGCAAGTGAGGACAAAGTCTTGCTCGCGGTGGCCGATGCAGGAGCACCATTTGGTGAAGTAGTGGCACCATCAGACCATCCTAAAAGGTCTGTGTACAAAGTCTCGGCCAGCTTGTACTTCTTGATAGGAATAAGTTGGGATCTCCGGCCAAAGGCGATCAAACACTTGGCGAAGGGCTCTGACAGCTCTTGTTCCTCATTACTCTGGTGTTTGACGAGGCCCCACCACTGCTTTCTCACACTGAAGGCCAGATGTTGCAGAAGCAAAACTTTCTCTGCAGATGGTTGCAGAGTGTTTGCGTCGTCCGCGCTCGAAATACTCGGGCATAGTGAGAGAATAGTCTGGGCTAACGACTCAAGCTGCCTAGCCACTTTAGCTTGGCTGGCTGGAGACTTTGCAGTGCTCAAAAGTAGATTCGCAGGTGAGGACGGGTTGGTGGGTTTCAGGAATTCCCAGGTGGCTTCAATTGTTCGTGGTCGTTTTAGTTTGGCGATGATACGCAATGTGTATGATTGGAAGCTGGCGGCCAGTGGTATAACAGGGCTACTGGGGTCTATGACTGCAAAGTCCAAAAGTGAAGCCAAGCTTTCCTTGTCGATAGCGCCATTTTGTTGTGCAGTATCACGGCCAATGTATCTATCCAACCTCCTTTTCAAGGTCCTTAACTCTTTGACGGCCATGTTATCTAGACCGTGTGCAACGAGCTTCCCAATGAGCGCAAGCACGCCATTTTCGTACTGCAACTCCCTAGAATCTTTCCCCAGGACCTTTGTTGCTTCTGGGGTACCCAGGAATGCGAATGCCGTCCTTGCGCACTCGGCCGTGGCGACCAGGCCTGGATCAGGGCCTGGGGACAGGAACGACGAATATGACGACGACCGGCGCGGGGCGCGTTTGTGGGGCGAATTGTGTACCTGAGAGGCGGATCGTTCGCGGAGAGGCTGTTGTGAGAGTGGCGGGGTCTTTGCTTGGCCGGGTCGCGCTGGCTTGCGAGCATCTTCGGTGGGTGCTGGCTTCGACTTGGAAGGGAGACGGGCGGCGATTACTGGTGCTGGGTTCTTGAGTGCTTCAGCAAGTGTTTGGAGGGTCTTGTTTGCGACTTCGGTAGCCAGTATGTATTTCTCCCTGGGCGCAATTGTGTATGTCTTTTGTTTCTGGGCATCGGCAGCCGCACCCGCCGCTGCTCTCCTCCGCGCAGTCGTCTGTGTCTTGCCCTTTACATTTTCTTTCTGTGGTGGCTCGTCTTCCTTTTTCGAGAGAATTTCCTGGAGCGCGCTGACTGTGGCGTTGGAACATGTCGAGATTGATTGGAGGTCGGTTTTGATGTTGCTGATACGCGCGTGCGCTTCATTCTTTGACGCCATTTCTTCGGGTATGGGTGATTTCGTCGTATGCGCTACTTCTCATAGGGCAATTTGATTATACATTATTAAGAAGACGGGGTGCGCTGGTGGGTATGCTCTCATACAGTGAAGTCGGTGTTGGGACGCAACAGGGCGGCCAAACATCCCAACAACACGCTACCGCATCCGGTTAGCTTGATTCGCCGCCAGTTCCCGTGCCGGAGCCGCGTCGGGCTGAACCCGTGACCGTCTTCCTTGTTGCTCCAACGTTTGTTCAACATGTTGTACTACACACGGCATGCTATGCCTCTGTCCATGATGGTAATTCTGCGATACTTTACAGATGGTTCACGTAGTAGGAATAGTGAATTTCAACACCAACGGTCTCGCCTCGCATCGCTTGCGACATCAAACAAACAGCTAGTGATTTGTAAGGGGTACGGTGCCAAGGATCGCGTCTTGTAGTTATGCTTTGGGTATCTATCAAGGGGACATATATCGGGTTATCCCTTGCTTAAGATTGTTCACGGCTTGGCATTGGCGACGAATAAAGAGAAGCTTTGCAACGCCCATCACGGGCAGCTCATGCATTCAGACTAGCCTTCAACACCTTGGACCCCACAGATATTAGCGAGGCTGTTGAATGACCCTGAAATAGTTCAGATGTATTCAAACCTAGATGTGTAGATTCACATTGCGGCTATGTGAGCGATGGCTGATGTAGAGGATTTCGCCTGGGGTTTGGTGTACACAAATGCTATGACCCTCGGTAAACAAGTCGCGTTATGCAGAACATCTCAAGTTCCACCGGCTGATTCGTTGCTGGGTAGGAAGCATGTGGCGCAAGCCATATTATGACAAACATATGAGTAGGAATATCATACATATTCTTACGCTAAGAGTTCTCTTGGCTGTTAGGAGACGGCATATCTCCATATCCGAGTCTTGAGAAGAGAGATTAGGCATAAGACTTGCATCCGTCTCGCATCTGCATACTCCTTCCGATGTAGCCCCTCGGTCCTGTTACTAAGAGCAAGCAGGCGGGAAAGGCTGGCTGACCGGCTAATAATGGCTTGTTTATCGGGTGTCGCGAGCACCTGGTACAGCCATCACTAGTTGGCATCGGATCCAGCTGAGCCTGCTAAACAGACATTGAGATATCCCTTGCCCTCACTCGACCTCCTTTTCTCGGTTGCCTATCATCAATTGCTTCCACATGTCAAAGAAGCACAGATTTGGTCCGTCACAGATAAACTGTAAACGGCTGTAAGCAGAGATCGTCAACTGTGACAGCAAGAATGATTCGTGGCCCCGAAGGGAAAAGGCATAACAGCTTACATCCCATGTCCTATTCTACATGCCCTGATTTCGCATCTTCATAGCGTACTAGTTTCAAGCAGGCTGTGAAAGCTTGTGTTGCGTTTCTCCTATATCAACCGACGAGGTGAAATAGTGTGTAAAAGTATTTCTCACAAGAGGCTTCCTTTCGAGCGACACAATATCTCGGCCCTTCTTAGATTGACTGTTGGTCACTCGGATGGTCCGGATCCACCAGCAGGTGCAAGACGGCACAGAGTGTGAGTTGTGCGAACAACACTCGTATAGCCCGAGTCAGCATGCTGGTTCCGACAAGCCAAGTCTGGGGTGCAATGCACTGTACTCTATTGCTACAAGGCTGATGCAACACATCCCGCCTCTAGGCCAACCCTGTGGCCTGGTTGGCCAAGACGATGTGATTTTAAGCAGGGATGCACTGATCTCGTACGAATTTCAAGTCCTGCGCCAATTGGTGTGCTGTGTTATGCAGTGTCACACTTTCCGCGGATCGTCTTCTTCCAATACGACAGAACGATGGCACCACGGTTTCCGAATGTGAGGAACGATGCCAGATGCCGATATATGTATACGGAATCGATGGATCGTCATTTTGTAGAAACTGGAGTCATTGAGACAATTGCAGAAGTTCCTCTGAATGGATCCATTGGTTGGTTTGCCGGTACGTGCCGACTGGATACAGCCGTAGTTTATGGCTAACTACTGGAGATTGATTGTGGCATTTAAGCACCTGCACGCGAGCTTGTGTCACATGTACCCTGGCTGTAAGTATGTCGCCCGATCTTGCGGTCCGGCCTTCGCGATGGCGCGGTCGGCTAAGTGGACCTGCTGTCGTTCATGGAGAGTCATCGTGAGTGTTTCGGTACCTAGGAGACAGCTGTCAAACCCATCATGGGGCACGTCGGCATGTACGCATGTACCAGGAAAATGGACCAGGATATCTATGTGTCCGATGCCTTTCCCCGGCAATCAATGCGTCGACATGCCGATTTGGACCGCGTCGATTCGCATTGTGGACAATTGTTTTTCCATGGCCCAACACCAACCCAACCCAACCCGTTACTAGTAAGCAGTAGTACATAGCATTAGTATGTATCTATGCGCACTCCCCTTAGGCCGTCAGTCGCTAGACCACAGTTGGTAAAAGCCCCTCCCCTGGCGGCACATCCTCCACAATCTTGTCGGGCCACCAACCTGTCGCCCCACAAACACACAACGCGGCAAAAGGGAGACGCCTCGAGGCTTGCGGCACCGTTCGCCCAGACGTTGGCTTCAAAGGAAACCGGTCCGTACATGCTGTGGCACAGTCCCAACGCCTCATCAAAGACCAACATGGAGTCTGCAGAACAAACTACACGCCATGGGCGGGTGCCACATCGATACGACTGTCGTATGGCTCTTGGCCATCTCATTCGCTTCCACTCTCTGCACAGCACAGACAGGACTGACTGACTGAGCTCCAAGAACATCCCAGCTGCCATGTGCAGCCGTGTCAGGGCTGTGCTCCACGTGGTAGCAGACTGCTGTTCATTCCCTATCCCGTGTCGCGTGAAACCCGGTCGCAGCAGGATCAACAACGTCGCGCCACCTGGCTGGCATGCTGCCACTTGCTCATTGCTTCACACCATGTCAACATTGCTTCTACGGCAGCACGGAACCTTTCTTGGTGAGCACGGCCACATGGCGCCTCGCTGGATAATGTAGCTCCCCGTCTGAGGACAGCATAGCCCTACCCAAAAAGGGACAGGCGCTCGATTATCAATGCGAATAGGTGATGGACAGGGAGCGGCCGCTAACAGCTGTGGCCCAGGAACGCGAACTCTGCTCTATTCACCCCTGCACAGGTAGCGTGCCGCGCTGCTTTCGGCGATCATCGAATGCCCGCGGACCCAGTGCTAAATGTCAGGGCTGGCCCACCTGCATGTCCGTTTCGGCAATTCAGAAGTCAATTGGGTGGTCCCCTTGTTCCCGACTATCTATCATTGCCATAACAAGGCGCCCGACTCCACCCAACTAGCCTTCGGGCCATATTTGATATTTCCATCCTCCACCTTGACCCATTGTCCGGGGTAATCTGACGGAAGGTTTCTCTAGCGCTAAGAACCGCCTTTGCCCTCGCGGCAGCGCATGGTGTCAACTATCTAACCTCCTCCATCCATTGCGACATTCATTAAAGGGACCCTAGCATCTCCTCCGTACTTCTGGAACGACCCGTGGGTCGAAACGCCTGAAAGCTGTTCACTGGATACATCCGAGTCACAAGATCCCCTTGTTTTGCCACAGGAATCGGACACTGCCTACTTACCGACCATGGTGCTTGCATGAACTAAGAAACGCCTACCTATCTGCCTCATTACGAGCCAATTCATTCCTATCAAGAACGCAACATTCGACAACATGGCCGACACACTATCTGGACTGGAACCCCTTGCGCCCAGAGAGCAAGACAGCTCAATTCCCAACAACATGGGTACGTAATACACACGCCCATGTCATTCGAATCACACTGACCCTGCATACCCGCCCCAGACCCACTCACGCCTGTCTACAAGGCTGGCCTGATTCCTATAGCCGTATTCGCCATGATGAGCTTGGTATCAGTAACCGCCCTACTTGCATTCATCACCCAGCGAATGGTGTCTTGGCGGAAACACTACAGGCAGTATGTCGGATACAACCAATATGTTATTCTCATCTACAACCTACTTCTTGCGGATCTTCAGCAATCGGCTGCTTTTGCCATATCCTTCCATTGGTTAAAGCTTAACAAGATTGTCGCTCCTACTGGGGCGTGCTTTGTCCAGGCCTGGTTCCTCCACATCGGCGATGTTTCAAGTGGCTTTTTCGTCCTTGCCATCGCTATTCACACCTGGCTAGGTGTGGTCAAAGGATACAAAATGACATTCAAGTGGTTCGTCATATCGATTTTGTTGATTTGGTCTTTTGCACTGTTTCTCACAATGCTGGGACCAGCAATGCATCAAGAGCGATACTTTGCTCGCGCTGCAGGATGGGTAAGTCTTCTTTGGGTGCCAGACTTGGAAACGGTGGAACTGACTGGCAACAGTGTTGGGTGTCACACGAATATCAAGACGAACGCCTCTGGCTACATTATCTCTGGATCTTCATTGTCGAGTTTGGCACCATCATCATCTATGCGCACCTGTTTTTCCATCTGCGTGGCCGCATCCAGAGCATCATGGCAAACGACACCAGCAAGCTGTCACGAGCAACCAAGTTCATGGTCATGTATCCCGCCGTCTACGTCATCCTGACTCTGCCTATTGCTGTAGGACGTATGGTCGCCATGACGGGTCAGCCTATGCCAGACCTCTTCTTCGTCGTCTCGGGCTGCCTCCTCACATCATGTGGGTGGATCGATGCACTTTTGTACGCCCTAACAAGACGGGTATTGGTATCTGGAGACTTGAGCACCGGCCAATACAACAGGACCGCCACTATAACACTTACCAACAACGTGCGCCCAGGCGATACCGAGCGCTACGGTCTCCAATCTATGAACTCCAAGGAGCCTTCCGCCACCTCATGCACCATCACAATCACAGGTGGAAACGGCAGGCTATCGAGCATAGTCGAGCACCACCGCACACGCAGCTACATGACACGATCACGCCATGATGCCACCGACTACGATGACGAGAATGTCACGCGAACAGGATCGCAAGATTCCATCATGAAGCCATTGCAATCACCAAATGGAATCAATATCATGACGGAAACCAGTGTGCAAGTGGAGTCTGCAATCGACAGAGAATTGGAATTGGGACGCACACCACCGAAAGAATGGAGCGACGTCCACATTCACCCATGATGATATTGGTATGAATTTCAAATGTTCAAAGGAGGTCATCTGGTATACCAAAAAGTTTGCGGTGGGTGTTTGCTTGCGACCAGTGATGTACTGGCGTGGACCCTATTAACCTACGTATCTTGTTTATTTCTCTGTTTCATTTCCCTTTCTAAGCAAACACCTGTATCGTATACAATATCTACCAAGAGGTAGGAAACCCCATGTACCATAGAATCTGAATACCTTTGTTCAAATATACACATGAACACTTCAAACTCGATATCCTTCATCCGAGTATGCATAATCACCAGCACTTCACGAAAGTCAAAATCAACCCATCATCAAAAGAAAGGGGCCAACACATCTCACCCCATCACCGCTCACAACCCCCGCAAAGGCAAAAAATTACGCACGTGGAATCGGCATGGTGCATGTTCAGCATCTCACGCACAGTCGATCCCTACAGCCCTACTATTACCGCGACCTTCCCCGCCCCACACCCCCCGATTTCCCACGCCCTAACCTACCGTATACCGCCCTGCCACGACCGATCGCCAAAGCTTACACGAGAAATACCACCGAACGCCCCACCGACCAACCAACGCTACCTCCTATCACCGATCGCCCCAGCTTACTCAAATCAACCACCGAGTGGTAACATCGACAAAAACATCACCGACCACCGACGACCACCGACGACTTCCCCGACCAAAAACACCTACTGAGTAGTACGACTTACGACCGATCGTCTAGCTTACACCAGTCAATCCCCCCCGAATTGTCATCCGCACATCACGAAACCCTAATCCTCACTCCCTCCCCCCGTTTCCCCATGGGGCAACTCTGCAGTCCAACAATTCAAAAAGGGGCAAGTAACGACCGAACAAGGGAAAAAAGTCCTCCGTAGAACCACACACATACATACCGTATTTCCTCGCCATTTTCTAAATAAAAAAAATGAAGCGAGAATTTATACTGAGTCAGCGTAGTAAGGTAGGTAGCGTGTGAGAATGTTGCTCGTGCGCGCGGTTTAGTAGTTCCGCGGCGAGGGGAGATTTCCGCTGTAAGATGTGTGTTTGTGTATGTATCTGTGTGAATGCTCTCCGCGGACGACAATCGACATGTTCAAGACAGATTACTCAGTTGGGTAAATGACAGAAAGAGAAAAAAAATAAACAAACGGGATAATGCCCTTGCTACCAATTTTTCTCTATGTAAGTATTCGTCTTATACGCAGACGTATGTCTCTTTCTTCCACCCCCTCCCATCCTTTTCTTCGTCGTTTTTTTTGTATCGCAATCAAGCCTACCCTATCCTCACCCGTACTCTACACAGTAACCAAGAAGAAACACGACGGCCAAGATGGCAAATCCCGAAAATTACCTAGTACCAACCTATTTTTCCCTCTTTCGCCATACATCTTACTCATCCATTTTTTCCCCCCAACCCAATATCAAAATTAGCAAAGTAAATGGTGCTACCCACATCTCTCACACCTCTCTCTCTCTCTCTTTTTTTTCCTCTTTTTTTAAAAACACAGACACACACACAAAACTATCCCATATCGATATTTATAACCATCAACGCAAAGCAAAACACCCAAACCCCATCCAAAGCACACACTGAAACCCGTGTTTTACGAAACCAGTAAAACCCACATCCCCCTTTTAGCTTTCCTCCCCCCCAACCCACTCTCTTTCTCTTTCTTGTTTTTTTTCCTTTGCGGCGTTTTATCTTTCCTCCTTTCCTCCGTTTTCTCTTTTTGGTCTTGCGACTTGCTTTTTTCAGGCTAGAGGGACGGGGAGGGGGGGGGGAAGAAAAGGGAAAGAAAAAGTGGCGTGATTTGTGGCTGCGGTCGAGATCGCGATGGGGTGGAGATGGGGAGTGGGGTGTGTTGGTGTAAAGGGGGGAGGGATTAGTCAGGTCGGTGTGGATTGGGGGCTGGAATTGGAGGTGTTGTTTTTTTCTGGGTGGAGGGGTGGGTTTGTGGTGAGTTTGCGGTGGTTTGAGATATAAGCATGTGATAGGTATGGTACATAGTAGGAGCTTGAATTGAAGAGGAAAAGGGAATGGCAGGTGGTGAGGTCGCGCATATGACGAGGAGATGGAGTTATCTTGATGTTGTTACTTATTTATTGACAGGGTATCGTTATGTGAGAGTTGAGATATACATGATACAGTACTATTTCCATGACATCCATATAGCTAATCCAGATACATTCCCCGGCTATTTTCGACGTTCCTTCTCCTTTTTCCATGTCTAGCAAGCGAGCTAACAACATGGATCGATTCTTTCAGGGGTTTCAAAAGGCTGAACGCGGTCGTGGCAAGATGTGGCTTTCCTTGTGAGTCTTTACTCCTGAATAAGCCAAAAGCTGTAACTTTTGAGATACAAGGCTCCACGGATCACATCATCGCCGTCGAGTCTCCCTACCCACCATCATCATCCTCCTCGTAGGTAACTGGACACCCGATCTCAGTCTCTCGAGAGCCTCCGGCGGTGTCGTATCATCAAGATTATAACCCCTAGGCCGACTTTGATTCGCACCAGCAAATCCCGAGTCCAGATCTTCTCCTTTGTCCAGTTCAATGTTGGGTGGGACATCTTCATCACGCTCTCGTGCGCCCGCTTCTGTTCCACGAAATTCACGACGAGGCGGAGAACGAGCAGTGACTTGCGCGAGTTTTTGCTCTAGAAGCCAGGTCTTACGTTTATATCGCAGAAGCTCTTCTTTTTGCTCGAGTGCTCGTTCTCTTGCTTCGATAACCGCGAGTTTTGCGTCGGTCGAGGGGTCAGGTGAGTCGTGTGTTTGCTTTCCATGTATTTTGTCTTGGTTTGATTTGATACTTTGAGCTTGCATGGTCTGGAGTAGCTGCTGCTGCAACTGTATGATTTCCTGCTCTCTCTTTGATATTTGAGCTTCTCGACGCTCAAGGTCGAGATCTCGGGGGTTCCTTCGTGGTGGCAGCGTCGACTTCCCCAGGCGCCCAGATGGTGTTCGCTCTCTCGAAGACGGCACGTTCAACTGATGCGGTTGCTTCACGGGTGACTTCAATGGTTGATACCCGCTTTCGTCAAGTCTCCTGGCTTCCTGATTCCGTGCCCGCCTCTTAGCAGTTATTTGCGGTTTCAACATCTCAGGTTTATTCGATAGGCGCAGACCGTTCCCCAGACGCACATTAGGTTGTAGAATACCGCCAACCAGTGTGCCTCGAAAGGTCTCCAACGCCTGACTATTCTGTAGGCGGTATTCGTACCTCAACTGCGGAGCATCACTGAAGCGGGCCGAAACTGGGTGGCTCCCGGTAGGATCAAGGCTTAATTCGACGTTTTCAAATGGTGGATCAACGACAGATACTCTTTGTCCTTCTTGAGCATTGCGAGCTAGGATACGAAGCGTATTGTTGCGTATTTGGATACCGTCCTTGCTGAAGGGCTCCAGTCAGCGTATTCGCCTTGTCAAAAACACAGCCGTACCCGCCCGACTTACTTGATGACGATGAAGCGCTTCATATCCGAATTCTTGGCCCGCACCTGCTGCATCCTTGGCGTAGGGCCATTGACAAAGTGCGCAGCAATTTTCATGCGCGACTCGAAGACATCGTGGGCGCACCATCCAAAGGGCAGGATGAAGACGGAGCCATCTTCAAAGTAGGCCCAGCCCGAAGGACACTTGGATTGGGCGCGCGAGTACAGATTGCCAAGATTCACAGAGTTACTTTGTGGCCTGACTAGGCCATAGGGTGGTACGATGCCCCAAGGCGGAATGCTGTACAGTTTGCCCAGGTTGACATAGTTACCGTATGCTCGTCGGAAGGCCATCGCTTGCTTGCATGCGCCCCTCCCCACGCCGCACGCTACTTGTTAATCTACGGTATTTTTTACCGCAGACGGCACGCGCTTTCCGTGCAGCAAGAAGGGCCCGTATAGCGTATGTGATTCGTAGGCGGCAGGGCCATTGCAGTCTGCTGATATTGCATGAGTAGGGCTATGGAACAGCGAAGCAGCACATCCTGGCCGACATTGCAGCAGACAAATTGTTGCGCACGAGCCCCATTTGACGGGAGTACCGACCCGCCACTACCCCATCGTTGATCGACATATGTCTTAATTGCACTTCACATCATCTGTCCTCTGAACCAGACGAGCCTTGTGCACCTTTCTTCCAAGGTCTGGAATACCTGCACAAATGGCCACTTTCGCCCTCGCACGCCTCTTCATCGCCAACTTGGATGACATGGTGCTCTTGTCGCCACTACCACCACATGCATGACGCAAACATACGTAAAGACTAACATTTTCACATTCAGGGCCCTGTCCTAGAACACACAAACTCGCGGCTTCAGGCTACACGCACAAACGCCATTGGAGGCCTTGACTGGGAGGCCTGGCCCGTCCCGACATGCTCCCTATACTTAGTCGTCCCTTTCAACACCTCGACGCCTTGAACATCAAAACACTTTTCGCAGAGGAGCGACTTGAACACTGACCCGACAAACGACCCAATATCTCTTGGCCTAGTCCAGTGGGTTGCAGAGTGCGACTGAGTAACATGACCTCGCATTCCTGCCTTTCCTCTTCGACCAAGGTAGCTGCTCCGTCTGCCAAGAGACGTCTGATGAGAAGACGCATTGCAACGAGCGTGCCTGATAGTTATCTTCTCGGCAAGGCCCCCTGTCGTAGACCTCCGTCTCTGAATGCTTCGGTCGGTGCGCCACCTAGTTTGGGCATTTGGTGCTCAGGATGCGTCCACCTTATCCACGATGCTGTCTATCGCCATTGATCGAGTGGAGGGCGTAGTTGGCGTAGGTGGTGCTTGACCATCCGACTTGTTGGACGCGGACTGTTGCTGCGGCTGCGGCGACACCATCTGGGGCGGTGACAAGGATGCGTTGGGAGCGTCTTCCTCAGCTGGCTCATTTCCATCGTCCAATACCTCGTCCACCTCTCGTAGCCAATTTGCTTTTAGTACGTCCATGGGAGGGTCCAAGTCGCCAGGCTTACCGCCGCGTCGAGCTTCTGCTGCCGTCATTTTTCTCTCACCACGTTTATGGGGATGGAAATGCATGCGCCGGAGGTGGCTTGCGGCATTGTAGCATTCATTATATCGTTTTCCAGTCTGGCAGGCTTTGCAGTTTGCGAGGAATGACTTATCCGGCGAGGTGTCAATGGTCACCCAGACCTTGCGCACCTTCTTATGGACGCGGTTGGTATGGCGCCGCAGCTCATGCTCGCTGCGGAAGCCGTCGGGATAGTCGGAGCATACCGGACACTTGAGTCGCAATACTCTGCGAGACGGCGTCTTTGAGCTGGGTCCAAATGCAGGAGAAGTGCTGGGGGTGGTGTCAACGGCAGGAGCTGTCACGACGGTTTCCCTTGAGACTGGAGAGGGCTCTACTGCTTCGCTAGCGCTGGTAGTGGTAGTCGTTGTGGGAGTCTTTGGCGGCGCTCCTGCTTTCATTCTTGCCCGGGTTCTTGATGGCGGCATATACTTTGTTGTTGATGATGATGATGATATGCTAGGGGATTCAGACGGCTGGGAGACTGCGGAACCGTCCTGTTCCGTCCCAAAAGCGAGCAAGGTGGGAGCTGGGCTGGAATGCTTGGTGGGGCGGGCGCCGTAGGTCTAACGGCAGCTAAATCGGACAGGATTAGGCAGTCTGCAGTGTCGAGTGAACAGCTGGGGTGCTCGCGACGTGCCTCCAAGACGGCCTTGGACAACGCGGGGGCCAGGCAACAAGATATCCCGATTTTTGCTGGGCCCAGCGGAGTGCGCGCACAAGGCTGGAATGGCGCAGTCAGCCTCGTTTCCCTTCGTGAGTGGGTGAACCTTGAGCTGCAAGCCACGCCATAAGCGGCAAGCTGGCGAGCCGGGAGCTTATTGGACATGGCCTTCAGGTTGAACGACATGCCTTGGTAGAGGGCGAATCAACCCGGCCTGCCGCGTACAGCTCGACCGGTTTCCAGGCCAGTCGGTCGAGATAATGAAAAAAGAAATGAGGGAATGCCGTCCAAACCTTGCTCGGATCATGCCGGGTATCGCAGCGAACGGCGAGTCCAAGAGTCGCAAAGGGTTGCGGGCACAGGCTTGCTTGCTTGGTTGCTTACCGGGGCAGAGGGCAGGCTGGCTGTGGTCGCTAGCCCGGTCATGCTTTTCCTATTTGGATGCGCTCCTGGCCTTGAGCCGAATTTCACGAGACAAAGCTATACAGTACCTGCACTCTACTGTATACACACATGCTCCTCTTCCTCCTCCTGCCATGGTTTTATGGCATGGTGGCCGTGGCCGCCCCAACACCAGACGCACTGTCACTGTGACGGCACTGCGCCCATGGAGGAGGGGTGCTTCTGACATGGCGACCATCAGCACCCGGCCCTGTTTTGACTCGCCCGTTTACTCTTCAGCCTTGCCGCGTCCGAGTAGTGGAACAGTCCGCCTCTCTGCCAGCCTAAGCGGAGCCGGGGGCAGCGGCGAATCAGCGGCCGGAGGGGTCTGGTTTGTTTTACGCAGACGTGCCGATCCACGATCCAATGCGTCCCATCACCAAGCCTCCACTCCAGCTGGGAAAACACTGGCCTGCACGCCCGCGACGCACCTCGTCCCTGCAACCTCACGCTTGCGTGGCCCCTCTGAGACGCCGCCTCTTATGCTGGCTGTATGCTGCCATGGCTTACCCGCCTGGCTGATGAGAGAGATAGCCGTCCTGGTGGAGCGTAATCTGGGTATACGAAGACAGGGCTGATGGGCTAGCCCGCTCATTGATCTCCCGCCTCGCATGCGCCTGGCTCGTTCGCCGTCATTCTGGACTTGGTTACGGAGAATGGGAAATGGGCGTACAGGTAAGACCGGTTGGCTAGCTGATCCGAGGCTGACGTCCACCTGCCACGAAACCTTATTTCACCGTCTCGACCCATAGCACACCACACCACCCACCCAGGCATGCGGTACCATATTGGCTCCCTACCAGACAACGCTGATCGCGAGGCACCGATCGTGTCTTTGCAAACGGTTGCTCCCATCGAAACCTTCTTGGCCTCTTGTCCTCGTCGGCTCAGCACTACCAGCGACATTCATCTGACAATCCTATGGCGCCTTCGCAGTGCGACCCTGACAGGCTCAGCTCGCGACATGTCAGCCTTTTCCCCGCCCCGTGCTCCACACGCCGTAGCCGGGCCAAAGGTGCGAGAAGACGCTTATCAATTGGTAAGCTCTTCTGTAGCTGGTACTTGACCGGACCCAGTGTTTCATGTCTGAAGGATTCTCACTCGACACCGATAAAAAGGCCATTCAACCGTAACCCTCGCAGAGGCGTCGAGACCTCGCTACAGACCTAGTACTGTGGTATCTGGTTACTCACCCATCATGTGAAAGCGGGTGGTTGGGGACAAGGGTCTATTTTTGCGTCCATGTGAAGTTTATCTGCACCAAATTTCCACTCAGTATTATGCCGTGTTGATTGTCGGCTCACCCAAGCAGTCAGTAGATGTACTTTTGCTCAGCCTCAGCCTCCGTCTCACTGTCAGGCTACGAAAGCGAGAGCCAAGCAGCCCTCAACACGGTGTGAGATGCACCATGGCGATCCACGCAGATACCGGAATACAGTGCAGCAGTCTCGTTGTCTTGAAAGACATGAGCTGAGCGTGCGACAAGTGTCCTGGGGCGGGTCTAGCTTGCTGTGGTTGGGAGATTGAAATTGAAACACAAGGGTTCATTGGGGGCCCTGGCTGTCAATCGTTAGCACCGGGTAGGCCCGTCGAAGCTCGATCAAAGCTCTCGAACGCAAAGGTGTGCTCCTCACACCACTCTCCTGTGCAAGATAGTCGCATGTTTTTTTCATCAGGTGTACCTGATCTGCACTGTGGTATTTTCAGGTTGACCATGCTTTTGACAAAGCCCATTGCCCTCTCTGTATTTGAGGCTCGGCATGGGACAGAGTGGGTTTGCGCAAGTATTTAGCCATTATGAATGTAACCTGGCCAATACGCTTTGACGCAGACGGTGATTTTTTTGATAACTAAATGTGCCATCCAATAGCTATGGAGCCGTTGGAACAATGTTGACTCGCCAGGGATAAGTAAGTACTTTGCCTCGGTTTCTGTTGGAAATGGCCAATGCGTGGTTTCATAGTGTGCAGGTGCAGGACTTGGGTGTTGGCCGATGAAGCATGGCAGCTACGGGACGTTTGACGTAGACTTGCTGGTGGGTCGAGTATTGATGCCGTAGCACTGGGTCGCCAAGGCACATGCAATCCAGCATCTTGTTCTCGTTCTACACAGAAGACACGAAAGCGATGGGGTGTCTGATCTGATGCTTGGTTTTGGTGGAAGCAGCCTGCTAGAGCTAGGGTCTGCAGTCAGCATCGCAGCGACACGGTGACGTCAACAATCGTGTGGCTGACGAAAAGTGTAAATTGCAGCAAAAGTTTGCGCGATGCCATTCAACAACAGCAGGACCGGACAAGAGAAAGCATGGTGGAATAGGGCTTGAGCAGCCATGGACCCACCCGCGGACGATGGGGGTGGACGACAGGGGGCAACAAGCGACGGTACGGGTACTATGAATTCCAGCGTAATTACAGGACAGGACGTCGTCGTCTTCGGCCACGAGGATTGCGTCGTCCCAACCCACCCCACATGTGACATGGTGTGCGCTCCACTTGCTGCGTAGGATTTACAACTGCATCGCCAGTCGCCCATATCGACTGCCCGCCAAACAAGCATCACACCGGCCGTCTCTGCGCCGCGCAGCCGTCGTCATCGCCATGCACTCGCCCCCTGGCCGCCCCAGGTGACCCAACCGAAGCCGAAGCCGCAACCCCACGACATGTCGGCGCCGTCTAGCCATGGCCGTCCTTCTGGAGACTCGGACCGCTGGACGGCTTCGTCAAACACTTACATTGCCAGCAATGCGGGCGCGAATACTGACAATGGCGAAGGAAGCTCCTCGCCACGGCGGAGCCAGGATTCACGACCCAGCAATGGTGCACTACATGGCCTGGGAATAGCCATGACGAGCGGCGACAACGACGACTCTGCTCAGCGCAAGCAGCGCCCACGACGAAGTGGCGGCTTTCTCCTCGACTCGACCTTTCCTAGCGGCCCTCGACAGCGCCATGGCCATCGCGATGCTCATGGCGCCGACGACTCGAAAGGCAAGCGCAACTCGCGACACCAGGCAACACACGAGAACAAGCGAAGTTCCATGATGGGCGCATCTCGAGAACACCGCGGCGACGACATGAACACGGACAGGACTAGGCGGACCATACACCAGATGCCGTCTGTAAGCCACGACAGAGACCCTTCGCCCCGGACAGAGCCAGCGCGGCAGGCCATCGACCCCACCCACCTCGTACACATGGCTCTTAACCTCAGCGAGAGCCGGCGCAGAAACATCAGTACTGGCCAGCTTCTTGCATCTCAGCCGCGCGCTGCATCGGGGTCGCAACGTGAGGGTAGTTTTGCCAACTATGCTGCTGGCGGCAGTCTAAGACACTACCTCAACGAGCAACGACGAGTCTCGAGGAACATATCTCCGATGGGTGGTAGAGGCTCCCCGTCGCGGCACATGTCTACGTCCATGCAGGGGAGTGGTTCGATGGCGTTTCCAGGCTCACAGTCTATCCATCCATCTGCTTCTACACTTGCGCGAGTAAACAAGGCTAAGGCATATATCGAGCTTCAAATGGAGTATATGCGCCTACTGGATTTCCTCCCACCCCTAAAGCCTGACGCCTGTGCTCCAGGCAACTTCATCTTCACGTCAAGCAGCTCTCCAGGCAGTCCCCAAGCGCATCTCACCCGTACGCCATCGCATGCTGGCAAACAACACGATCTCGGCCGGGCCTACAACCCCCTACAGTTCATCCGTAATCGCCGTATCAGAGCTCGCGAGCGTGTAGTTCTGGATCATACCCCAGAAGAGTTTGAGGACGTTGAGCAGGTGCGCCATTGGGTTGACCAGATCGAGCAGCAGGCCAAAAGTGTTGGTTACCGTCGAAATGATGCCGTGCACTTGCCCAAGATTCACCAAGATCATGAAGTCGCCGCTCCACCCACCAAGCCTCCAAGGCCGCACAAGGGCTGGTTCTTCACCCCAGAAGAACTGCTTGCGGATGCGCACTGGCTAGAGCAGGGCGACAACAAGACACTTGTGGAAAACCGGCGTGGCCAAAAAATATTTCCCCCCAAGGAGGCACAGCCTAGAGATTCCCTCCAAACGCGTGCTAGCAAAGAATTCGGCGACAAGCGAGGAAAGAGCTGGGCTGATGCATTGCCTGCAATTGCACTTGATCATACAACGGGTGATGAAAGTGACAAAGCAAGTGAGCGCGGACGTAAGCGAAGATTGCTTCCAGCGCTTCGCACAGATAGCCCCAGGGGCGGGAAGCACTCCAGAAGAGGTTCAAGGTTACGGAACCATGACGAGCCTGATAGCTCTGGGTCAGAGTCTGACACAAAGAGGCGCAAGACCCGTGTGGCTACGGACCCAGAACACAACACCGGACCGCTTGCTCTGCTTTTGGAGCAGCAGGCCAAAGAGCTCCAGGCCAAATCACCATTGGCTATGTCGCCCAACACACCCGACAAGTGGGGTCGTAACGGAGATGTCGCAATGGATGAGAAGCCCACTCGGGACTCACTAGATGTCCCACGGTTTTCAAACGGTTTTTCGTATCTCAAGGATCACGGCAACTTCAAGATTTCGCCTACGCCACGCAAACCTCTGAATTTGTCTAGTGACGATGCCGAGCCACGGTCTTCACATGAGCAGCAAGACAGTACTGCTCCAAACACACCCCTTACCAAACGATTTCCATACATTGGCAGCGAAGCCTCGCCACCACAAAGCCGATCCAATTCGCAGACGAGAAAACCTAAGCGACACAAGTTTAACAACATTTTCCACTCACACGACCACAGTGAGGAAAGCCAGCATGAGGGACGGCCAGGCTCCTCTGGCACAGACAGGAAGGGGAAATCTCATCAGAATAGCGGAGAGGCTGCAGATGACAAACATGTTGGAACAGCAATACTGGCCGCGCCAGGTGCTGTAATGAACCTCCTGGGTCATCGGAAGAACGACAGTGTCAGTAGTTTGCCCAGCCCAGACAAGCTACGTCGCAGAGAGGCCCAGGAGCCACAGTCTGCTGTTACACGATTCTTCAAGGGCGTCAAGCATGAGGGCACAAAAGTTGGAGATATCATCTTCAGACGTGATCGAGCGGACGATTCTGATTCGGACACCATGTCTGACAGCAACCCGGTAGAGTTTGACGATGACAATGGCTCTGCTCGAGCTAAACAGAGCAAACGACCATCGATGGCTCGTACAAATACAGGGGGCACGGAGGGCAGCAGAACTTCTTTCCAAAAGGACCGTAGCCGTCTCGACCTTCCATCGTTCCGCCCTGTTCACGCCATTGATAATGAAGATTCTGACGAAGAACATCACATTTCACGTCAGACTCGAGACCAGAAGGGCAGCCATTCCCCTCGTATTGATCGACTTTTGCCCCCACGTATGGATTTAAGCACAATATCCGATCGTTCTTCTCAGGGCTCCGTCACTCTCGGCCCAAATAACAGTCAAGAACAACTTGAAGAATCGCTTGCCCACCATAGTGATACAGGCGGCCTCCCTGCTGCTGGCCTGAGGAATGCGCAGGACAGGAAAGCCAGTGGTTCGAGACCAGGACTGAGTGGAAGACATTGGAGCATTGCCGACGGCGATGATCAAGCCGTTGACCGTAAGACTAAGGCAGACATCATCACACAAGCAGACATTGCTCGTGTTCGCGCATTGTTCCTCTGCTCTGGTGTCAAAGCAAACGAAATCGTGCGCCGCGCCCACGCTACACGAAACCCACCTGCTGATTTCCTCGTACGCGCAGCTGATTTGACAAACACGAAACTGTATCCCGTTCCGCGCACGCAAGAACACGTTTTGGCTGCACGCATATTGGTCAAAGATCTCGAGGCTTCTACTAAAGCTTTGCAATCAACTCTCGAAACCTTCCGTAACAAGGCTATTCAACAGCTGACGAGGCAAATATCTACTTTGCAATCGACTGTGGATTCAGATCTTATGCCTCGTATCTTGGAAGGCGGCGACAAAGCCGTGCGTGTCACGAGCGAAGTATCTGGCCAGGGATCACTCCAAGTCAAGCAAATCACCGACGAGATTGACCGCATGATCAGAGCACGGAAGCGCCGAATGAGATGGATGCGGGGCTTTGGCTGGATGCTGGTAGAGTGGGCGCTCGTCGGCCTCATGTGGTGCCTGTGGCTCACCGTTGTCCTTGTTGGATCGGTGAAGCGCGTCTTTGGTGTCGGTTGGAGCGTTGTCAAATGGCTGTTATGGCTTTAAACATACCCTAAATCGTATTGCATTTACTAGGCGGTTGAATTTTTCTTTTGTTACTCGTGCATCCGGCGTTTGAATACTAGGTTGCCTTTTATTTAGGGTTGGATCTTACAGATACCAGACTGTGTATATAATGCTGTACATGTATATACACCGATTGATTATTTCTTAGACTTTGTTTTAAGCTGCGATATATATAGTCTTGTAATTAGCCATCCCAATATCTCTGTGTTATAGCACGATTTAGTTCCGACGTATTGTATAGGGTTAGCGAGTAAGACAAAATACGGAAATACATCCTGCGTATAGTAAGTACAACTACTGCAAGGTTAATGATCCTGTACTGGGATGATAACGCAATCGAATGCTGGGAACCCTATCTTTACTATGTCTGGTTGGCGTTTCAGGGGGTGTCTTGCACGTGCCTTGGTGGCATCGCGCCGCCTCCTAGTCGCGTCTACGTCATTGTCCCGCTTTCCTGACAGGCGCCCATCTTCTTCACAACACTAAACCAACACACTGCAAAAAGTTCCAAGCTACCCAAGCTACGCTCCCCGCGCTTCCGCCAATCTCCGTATACGAAAGGTTCCGGCCATGACCTGTTACTGATCTTAATTTTGTATCGACATCCAAGCTGCCGTGATGGATCTCCAGAAGGTGTTTGTCGCCCAAGGCAGCGAGAGCAGTCATGCTCAGTCGGTACGTGTTTACGACTACACCCAGCGTTTACTTGATATGACTCTTACTGACTCGACGTGTTGCTGAAGTCCAAGGGTCTGTCTTCGTTCGCGGCACTTGCTGCGGCTTTTGTCCCTACAGCCGTGGTTGCCGTTCTATACGTAGTCATCTTCATCTTCATCAGGCCGAGCTTCCCCAAGATCTACTCTCCAAGAACATACGTTGGGACCGTTGAAGAAAAGCACCGTACGCCATGTCAAAAATCACCAGGTTACTTTGACTGGGTTCGCACTTACCGGACACTCCCTGACAAGTTTGTGCTGTATCATCAGTCGCTCGATTCGTACTTGTTCCTTCGCTTCCTGCGGACGTTGATCTTCATCTGCGTTGTCGGTGCCGCTATTACCTGGCCGATTCTTATGCCGGCGAACTGGACAGGTGGTGGCAGGTCAAAGGAGCTGAATCGCCTTGGTATTGGCAATGTCAAGGACAAGAACCACTTGTACGCTCATGCCATCGTTGCTTGGATTTTCTTCAGCTTCGTCATGTTCACGGTTGCGCGCGAGCGACTATGGCTCATAGGGTTGCGACAAGCGTGGAACCTGTCGAAGACCAACGCAAAGAGACTATCCTCACGCACTGTTCTTTACCTCTCAGCGCCTACTGCAGCTCTCGATGAAGCCAACATGCAGCGATTCTTTGGTGACGATGCAGTCAGAATTTGGCCAGTTACCAAAGGCGATAAGCTTGTATCTCTGGTCTCTGAAAGGGACTCGAAAGTTGAGAAGTTAGAAAGTGCTGAGCTGTCGTATATTCTGAACATCAACAAGGAAGTCAAGAAAAGCCACAATGGCAACATCAAATACGAACAGCTGCCAAAGCAGATGAAAAAGTCACTTAGACCTACCCATAAGTCGAAGACACCAGTTGTTGGTAAGGAGGTTGACAGCATCAACTACTATCGAGACCAGATCAAGGAGAAAGAGGATGAGGTACAGAAAGCTCGTGAATCGAACGAGACTGCTGGAAATCTTGGTGGAGCAGCAGCGGTATTCGTCGAGTTCCGCACACAACCTGCAGCCCAGCGAGCATATCAACAAATTGCATCCGCCGACATTCTTTCTCTTACACCTCGATTTGTAGGGACGGTGCCTAGCGAAGTCGTTTGGTCTAATCTGGTGCTGCCACCCGCTCGCCGTATATCACAAAGCGGCATCGCGCTATCCCTAGTCATCGCCACCATCATATTCTGGTCCATTCCTGTGTCAATCGTGGGTGCTATCTCCAACATTCAGTATTTGGCTGAGAACTTTAAATGGCTTGCATTCCTCAACAAACTACCGCCCTCCATCATGAGCCTCCTGAGCGGCCTGATTCCCCCGTTGTTGCTGAGCGCTCTGGCCCGATGGGTGCCAGATATCTTCAGGTGTAAGTTCCCTTGTGAAAGGTTATTGGATGATACTTACCATTTCAGACATTTTCACGACTTTCGGAGACCCTACAAAGTCTGTGATTGAACTCAAGGTACTGAAATGGCACTATGTCTTCCAAGTACTTCAAGTCTTCCTTATCACCACGTTATCGTCTGGAGCTGCTGCAGCAGCATCTCAGATTGCACAAGATCCAAGCTCAGTACCTCAACTTCTAGCGGAGCGTCTTCCTAGGGCATCAAATACCTACCTCACGTACTTTGTCGTACAGGCCTTGACAAATGCCCCGAGTAACATCTTGAACTACTCTGACGTCCTTTTCTACATCTTCTATGATAAGTTTATTGACAAGACACCTCGCCAAAAGTACAAGACATATACGACATTGAGGGGTATGGCTTGGGGCAAGCTGTTTCCGAAATATGTCAACTTCGTGATTATTGGTATGTGAGCAAGAGATCCTTCTGGGCTGCGGTTCAACTAATCGTTTGTAGCAATTGCGTACTCTTGCATCGCTCCTCTTGTGCTTGGCTTTGCTGCCATCGGCCTCGCCATTTTCTACTGGAGCTACCGATACCAACTGCTTTACACTGTGCAGCCAAAGATCGATACCAAAGGACATGCCTACACGCTTTCCCTCCAACATATTCTTACGGGGATATACATTGCCGAGCTTTGCCTCATTGGCATCTTTAGCTTGCGCAATGCCAGGGGTCCTTTGCTCATGCTTGTGCTACTGCTTATTGCCACGGCCATATTCAACTACACCACCAATCGCTACTTTGCCCCACTGGAGCAGTACCTTCCTGCGGACCTTGCCCTCGAATCGGAAGACGATGAACAGTCGCCCCTACTCTCCTCAGCAGAAGAGGGCGAGTCAGATGCGTTGCAACATGCAGAGTCAAGAGTTGCTCGTATAAGTGAACGAACGCGCGTGCCACCAAAGGTCATATCACCCCTTGCGCGCTTCTTACAACCACATGTATTCGCCAGCCATACAGCTATGAAAAGCTGGGTCCGTGACGGTGATTTCGACGACGAAGAGCCCGAATACAACGACGACGAAGTCAAGAAGGCGTACCTCCATCCAGCTTATTCGAGCAAGACGCCGGTTGTTTGGCTAGCGAAAGATCCTATTGGCGTGAGTAAGAACGACATTAGTGAGAATGAGAATATGGGATTGGATGCTAGTGACGAGGGTGCATGGGTTACAGGGGATGGCAAGGTGAAGTGGGCTGTGGATAACTTTGAAGAGGTGCCTATTTTCAAGAAGGATATCAAATGGTAGGGGGGTATGGGCGTTATGGATGGGAAAAAATCACATTAGAGGAGAGAGTACTTTTAATCTCAGTCATGTTTGTCTCCTTGTTACGTAAGACATGACAGTCTTGCATTATACCGAATGAAAAACTTCATCTACACATTCATGATCAGACTTTCCTTTACCAAAGCAAAGAATCCTGTAATCTCACGCCCAGTGTCCCGAATCAGGGCGTCTCCTCCTCCCTCGAATCATGTCCGCCGCCTTCTCCGCAATCGCATACACTAGACTAACAATATTGCCCTGTACATGCAACGGAAAAATACTGGCATCCACAACACGCAGTCCCTGCACCCCATACACTCTCAGCTCTTCATCCACAACCCCACCCTTCTCCCTCGGCAACATAGCACAAGTACCCACAGGATGATACTCGGTCACCGTATTCTTCTGCACCCACTCCTTGGCCTCCTCAACATCCCTCGGCAACGGACCCGACGCATTCTGCGGCACCACCAATCCTCCCTTTTCATCACGCTTGAAAATCTGCTTCAAAGGCTCTACATCCGCAAACGACAGCGCGTGCATTACGGAGCGCGCCATGAGATCGATATCGAGGGGGTGCGCAAAGTACGCTGGATCGATGGCGGGATATGCTTCGGGGTTCGAAGAGGTAATGTGCGTGCTGCCGCGGGAAAAGGAGCGCGTGCTGCAGACGCCGAGGGTGGCCCACATGCCGGGGTCCTCGCAGGGGAGAAGCTGGTTTGCGTTTTCGGGGCGGTAGGTATTTATGCCTAGGGGTAGGAAGACTAATTGGCATACGGCTTCCTTTGGGTTGAGGAGTTGGCGGGCGGTGAGGGGGTCGCGGCCTGCGGGGTCGCTGGTGGTGGTGGAGGCGAGGAGGGAGTCGATGTGGGATTGGGGGTTTGAAAGGTCTGGGGATACTTTTTGGAGAGAGGCGAAGCCGGCTGTTGTGGGGCCTGCGGCGAAGGGACCGGATTTGTGGGTTAGGTAGGCTTCGAGGGCTTGTTGGGTGAGGGTTGGGTCGCGGAAGAGGGCTTCGGCGGTGGGGTATTCGTCTTTGACGCCCTTTGGGAGAAGGTTAGTTGGGGGGCTTGGATTTCACCATGTTTGAGATAGGGATGGAGATGGCATTGTGCTTACGAGAACGACGGCTGTTGCTGAATGATCGCATAGGTTGTCGCCAACTCCAGGTAGATCTACAATCACTTCTACACCGGCTTTTTGGAGTACGTCGGGCGATCCGATACCAGAGAGCTCGAGGATTTGGGGAGAGTTGACGACGCCTCCGCAAATAATGACTTCCCTGTTTGCCTTGACTGTAAATGGCGAGCCGTCGACTGTGAACTGAACACCGGTGGCCTTGACAGTGTCGGCATTTTTCTCCAGTTCAATCTTGGATACGAGTGCGTGGGTCAAGAGAAACAAATTGGGTCGATCCTTGGCCGGTTCATAGTAGTCTCTTGCAGAGTAGCTTCGTCTGTTGTGCCTAGGATCAATAGTGCACAGCTGATTGAAGCCGCCAATGGAGGAACCAACGCGAGGATCATTGGCAGGTAGGTATCCTGCGTTGATTATAGTCTTGGGCCACATGTCCTGGCTCCAAGTAACGTCGGTTTCCGCAAAGCTTATCTATCACTAGTCAGCCATGGAAGAAGATTGAACAAGGCTTTTCGCAAACGACTAACATGAATTGGACCTGATGTTCCGCGCAAAGACTTGTCGAGGTATTTGTTGTCTATTTTTTCGCCATAGGCCTCGGAAGCCGGGTGGTAGGTTTCGAATTTGCGGTAGTAAGGCTTGAGGTCTTCAAAAGACCAACCCTTGTTGCCAAGTTCTCCCCAGTTGTCCAGGTCCTGCTTGGAGGCCATGCTAATGAATACGTCAGCAAGAATAGTGTATGAATATATCATCAGGATGTGCTCGGAAACTACCTGAACATGCCGTAATTGACAGCGCTGCTGCCACCTAGAACTTTGCCACGGATCCAGCCATGAACTCGACCCGCGGTCCCTTTCTATCACGGAAGTCAGTAAGTGGAATTGGTTTCGGAAAGACTTGACATACCTGGGGCACTGTCTTGTAGTCCCAATCATAATTTGGGTTCCCCCAGGTCTGCGTGTACATGCTTGGGGCATCAACAAGCAAATCGTTTAGCGCATTGCCCCCAGCTTCGAGGACCGCAACGGTGACATTTTCGTCTTCACTAAGACGAGATGCGACGGCCAAACCTGCTGTGCCACCACCACAGATGATATAATCTAGTAACGACGGATAATTAGCGATGTGTATTTTACAGTACTCGTCTCGCGCCTTGTCGAGTACAATTGCATATAAGGAACGTGTAGAAGAACACATGCTCAATCCTGTAGCTCTCAAAATGAATCAGGAGTGTTTTTATTCTTTTACATACCGTATGATCGGCTTGTGAGATCCTCAGCAGGTGCTCTGCTTGTGACACCCTCGTCAGACATAATGACCAGATCTTAGGGCTTTGGAGGGGAAGAAAAGAAGAATCTGAATGTCAGAATTTCAAATCCTAGAGTTTAATTTGGGCCCCCCTCCATGACTTTATAGTACTACGGATCGGTCTGCGAGTTGCCTAGAAATGCATTGTAGGATTCTTAAAGTGGTACTCAGCCCCACCCGTCCTGGGCCTAGGTTTCTCCTCTTCGGTATCCAAGCAACGAGTACCAATAATCGACTGCTTTCTCATGTGACTACACCCGATTGGTCCATAGATTAGTAAGTCGGCCACAGCTACTCATTGTATAAGGTGGTGTTTAGGGTAGTAGATAGTTATCGGTACAGTCAGCACCAAGAACCTGATTCAGGCCAGTGAAGGTGCAGCAGTAGTACACATGCTTTCATCAGCTCAGTGCGGGGTAAACTTCCCGATTGATTTTTCGCAAGGGATGAATTGGTCATGGAGCTAAAGGTATCCTCTGGCATTGTATGATTGTCCTCATCGCTCATGCCTCGCAGCACATATGCGAACTCACTTTTTCTTTGTAAGCCTTGGTAGATGAGGAGTTGAAATACAATGCAAGATTGCTTTGCAGATGGAATACTATCATTTGCCCTTTCAGACAGGGGCAGTCGCGCAACCCCACTCAGGCAACCCTCGAAGAGTGGGTACAGTTCGTTGCCGGCAGGGAGGGCAGCTTGGCAAGCGGCTGAGTGTAGCCCGCTGTTTGGTCAGGATTATGGCGCAAAGCGGTTCAGTGAGCAAATAGGCAGAACTAGACCTGGTGGTGTGTGGCCACAGTTCCTTGATGGTGTGGTGTAGGAACACGTGATGTACGGCGTTTAGAAAGCAGCTATCCCCGGATGTGGGTACTAGGCCTAGTCGCACGGACCCCTGATGATAGAGATGCTCCACCAAAATTTCTAGAGCTCCAACTTTTAAAACTTAACCACCATTGTCTGCCTTCGTTCCCCGCTCCCGGCCATGCTCACCGAACAATTCGTGGCCGCTATATCGGCTTCGACCAAGCCGAATACTGGAGTTCTCAAAGATGCGGGTATTTTTGTTCACGAGTTCCAGCCGCTGGCTGCTCAACGACAGGTCTTGAAAAAGAGCGCGACTGCGCCCAATGGCATCGCCGTGAGCGCTACACACGTTTTCGCCGCGCAGTCGGAAAAGGCAGTAGTGCATGTGTATAATAGGGAAAAAGGCAACCAGGAAGCCCTTGTGCCCTTCCCAGAGAGAATCCATAGCATCGCGCTGGCAGCACATGATAGCGTGCTGTTGGCTGGAACAGAAAGTGGGCGAGTACTAGCTTGGGAGGTTAGTCGCGACACTGTCACAGATACTGTAGTCATGTAGGGCTCTAATGTGTTCTCTAGATCAGCTCAGGCCGCCTCGTCTCTACCTCTACTTCGCATCTCCAGCCAGTGACGTGCATTGTCGTTGATCCATCCTCCAACTTCTTTCTCTCTGGCTCCTCCGATGCCATGATTCACGTATGGGCCCTGCCCTCGATACTTTCCTTCTCGCCTGATGCCTCGCGCTCCCCCGTACATACCCTCTCTACCCACCGCGGTCCCATCTCTTCTATTGCCTGCGGGCACAGTTCAAGTAGCGCCAACATTGCCGTATCTATATCGGGTGACAAGTCTGCTATTGTATGGGACTATCAAAATGGACAAGCGCTACGCACATACCTGTTACCGGAGATACCCACTGCCGTCACCCTTGATCCTGCCGATCGCGCATTCTTTGTTGCCTACACCGACGGTAGTTTGCAGACAATTGATTTCTACGACGAGGTGCAAAAGACTACCTCGGTAAATGTCCTTCGTGACAGTGCTTTGTCTCACCGCCCTATCCAACCCTCGTCCAAGACCCGATTCAGTGCCGATTCGCAGAAGCTCGGTGGAGCCCTCAGCCTGAGTTTGAGTTGGGATGGCACAACGCTCATCTCTGGTCATGCAAGTGGCAAGATTGCTTCTTGGGACGTCGCCAAGTCAAACTATCTTTCAAGTCCAGCCAATCTTCCAGGGCCTGTCTCAAATTTACAGTTCCTTGCCCCCACAGGCTTTCCCAACGCACATGAACCAACGTTCACCATCCAGGCCATTGTTAAACCAAAACAAGACACCGGACTTGCAAGCAGCGGGAATGGCTTAGTGCCACCACATTATACCCTGAGCATGCAGCTGACGGGTCGGCTACGCAGCGCTCACTTGTCTGCTAGTGAGCAAGGACGTGCAGGAAAAAGCGAGTTTGAAGAGGCCCTCACCCATCCCAGTTTTCCTACTAGCATGCTTGAGGAGAGTCTAGCCGAATTGAACTCTTGGGGCACTCAGGCCAGGGCCACTGTCGCTCCGGCAGCCAACTTCATGGCCCTGGACACAGATGATGCAGGTGCCTCCGGAACTACAGGCAACGCCCAGCAAGCCGAAGTCAAAGAGCTCAAGAAACAACTGGCAAGCCTCCAGCGCATCCAGAAAGTGACCTTTTCGCAGCTTTCAGAGCTGCGTGAGGAGAACGATTACTTTGTGGCCCAAGAGAAGAAGCGGGCAGAACGTGCCAAGACACAAGCAAAGAGGAAGACCAATGGCGCGAAGCATAGCCTTGATACTGCGGACGTGGAAATGAACGACGGCACCGACGCCACTTCCGACTCAGGGCTGAGTGATGCTCGGGCAGACGAAAAGCCTTGAGCGTTGGCAATGCTCGAAGCTCAAGCTTTTTCTCCTGCATTACAGGGGAGAAGAAATGACGCATACGATTGCAGGTGTATCCTTGGCTTCCGAATACTTGGATTCAAGTGTGAGCTTGTGAGACTTCCACGCCCGGTCCGCATGTCACAGCAGGTCAAGATGGTGCGGAACAGACGCTGGCTACCAACACCCCATACCACCTTTTCCAGCTTGCACCCATGGACGGCAATTGCTGCCGTGTTGCAAAAACCTCAAGAACGCCTTTTCTAGAATTTCAGCCACAGATTACAAGCCCTCTAAGCCACGACGCCCACAGAGCGGGGCCCACCCTGGGCGGTTGAATCTTGTCATTGTGTAACCATTGACGAAATTGGTTACACGACGCAAGCACGACACTGTGCCTTGGATTCTGCGCTCGGATCATAGTCAGGTGTTCTCACGGAAGACACTGAGGCGGCTCAATCCAGTTTTGATCGATCACGCATCACATGCTTGACCTCTGTCGCTGCGTTACAACAGCGACCATGCGCGGTGGGGACCTCCAAGCTTTCATACCGGGATATCGTTGCTTGTGAGCGGAGTAGATACTGCAAGAGAAGGAAAAGATAGACCTATGTAATCTTTTGTCTCACTGTTGTAAAACACAGCCCCAACGTATACTAAGCAACTGCATAAGGACACAATGACTAGCAGTTTTGCGATCCGAGAAGCCGGTGGAAAACCAGGCGGAAAACTAAGTTCAATTCCATAGTGGGGGTAGGGCGAAGCAAATAGGCCTAGATACGGAGCCCTTCCTTCTTGTGCCCGATCGGCGTTGGCTTCTCGTATACGCCCGCCCCCTGTCTTTTTACAACAAAAAGCCCCCGTCAATATGATAGTAATGCCGAAGCTACTACCTCCTCTATAGGATATGGCCTCCGGTTAACTCCGTAAACTTTGTCCTTCCATAGCAACACGAACGGACCAAAAAAGATTAAGTGAAGAAACAGGGCGAAGAGAGTAGATGGGAGAGAAAGAGAGAGACGGGAAAAGCAAAAAAAGCAAAAAAACACACCCTTGCATACGGTTAGGGCTACCAGCTCTCTTTCTCTCTCTCTCTGACTCTCTGAGCCTTTTTACCCGGGATGTTCCACGTAACAAACCCCCGTCTCCTGAACTTGGTAAAATCTGTGAACAGCCGTTCCAGGTGTGTATGTACATGCAACAAACAGGGTACACGCAACCTTTCTTTTTTTCAAGCGTTCGCGTCTGACATACAGTATACCATCACTTTTTTTCTTGTTTATTTTCTTCTTCTTGGGTTGGTCTTTTACTTTTCTGAATTGTTTTTTTTATCGATTCTTTTGCTCCCCTCCGTGGCGTGGAGAAGGTGAAGAAAAAAAAGAAGTTGCCGAGGCGCGGGGGAAGGGGAAAACGGAAAAAAGAAATGAAGGAAAGAAAACGGTGAACGCAAATTAAGAACCTGAGCTACTTTGGTTAGTTTCTTCGTCTTTCCTATCTCTATCTCTCTTCGTGCCTGGTTATCTGCCTGTATCTGTGTACGTATACGTGTGTACGTGTCTGTGTCTCGATATTAAGCGTAGTAACCCCCATTTCTTATATAACCACCGGGACGCTCAAACGCCTAGTACGTTTACCAACCCCCCACCCCTGAACTCCAAAATCAAGTGTTTGAAGAATGTTGGAATAGTTTACAATGATAATATTTTACTTATTAGCCGTTCCCCCTCCCCCCCCCCTAGGTTTCTTTTCCAGCGAAAAGTCCCCATGTTCATTAATAGTAATTCAATTGTTATTGTTATTGTTTGTATTTTTCTCCTAAAATTTAAACTAAAAAAAAACTTCCACGAAATTAACAAATTAACATACTCTACGATTGTTAAGGTGTTCTCTCTTCTTCTTTTTTTATTTTGCTTTCCCACACACACACACCCCGCACCGCTTATGCGTTACCACTAGTTGCGTGCCTGCAGCTTGGGTTTTCCCGTCTCTCCCACCCTCCCCCTCCCCCTTTCCCCTCATTTCCCCTCAATCTTCGCTCAACATGTTCCCCAAAAGAAAATATGAGCTAGCGTGATGTGCATTATCTACCATCCTGATTATAGTTTGTTAATTACTATCATTCTTCTAGTACCGTCTAATCAAAAGGCCACGTCATACATGCACACATCACATCATCCATTGGCACTCAAAGTTAGTTTTTTTGAACATTGTTGATATTTTTTTTCTGGCTGTAAGTTCTAGTCCTCTGCACCGCCTGTCCACTCAGCTGTCGTTGAAGACAAATGAGAGTAAGCCCTCGGTCGTTGATACATTCTGAGCGGAATCTGGAACCTCAATCCTTGTCGTCGATCGCGTCTGTTCTAGGACCCCCCCAGACATTACACGTATCGTGTGCCCATAGACTTCATAGTGATGACGAGGCATTTTCCAGTGCAGCGACAGAAAACCCGCCTATACCAAATAGTGTTGTGTTACACTGAAAGAAAGTAGCTGTTTGATTAAAGTATGCCAAAAATGTTGACAGTTGGCTAATAATACTACGGGGAAGGGAACAAACAAGGGCCATGATAAAGATGCTCAACTCTAAGGTCGATCACCCTGAGGTAGATAGTCTTTGATGTTCATCACGGTCGTGAATCCTTGCGGGGTTGGTGTGTAGGGAAGAAGTCAAAGTACAGTACTCCGCCCTCGCTGGAAGAACAATGGATAGTGGATGGATGCTAGAGTAAAAGCAGATGCATGTCCAAACAAGCCCAAGAATAAGCACTCAAAGTGCCTTCGCTTTTCCATGTGTAGAGGTAGCTAGTTGATGTCCCGAAAGGGAGTAAGAAATTTGTTGGCCGTTGTTCGTCGTCAATGGTGGAAGGCCGTGTAGATGATGATGTAGGTTGTACGGAAGGTGTCGCTAAGATGTTGGAGAAAAGCCGTGAAAAGAACCGCAAATGAACCGAAAGCATGTAAAGTAAGGTGCTTACGAAGAATGTGACTTGTGTCGGCCTTTGTTACCTGTAGCGTACTCGCCATCGGGACACCATTGTTCCGGTTCAAAGTCTGGATTCATAAAGTGTGCGGTGTTGAAGTGAGAACTTGAGAGTGTAAGTAGGAGACTAGTGCATGAACAAGGCATAATGCTTACTTGCGAAAGATGGACGTCTGGAACGGCTGCACCTGCATTGAAGATCCGAACCCAGGCTCCAGTTCGTACATGGATGGCCTGAAAGGGCCACCTCGTTCAACGCCTATCGGGGCTGCTCTATCGATGCTGACAGGAGGCGGGGGAGGATGTATGGGGAGTGTCACAGGAGGTTGTTCGAGATTGATGCTGTGATGGCTCGCTGGGTTGTACTGACTCGCATTACTGGTGTGGATCGGTGCAACAAAGTCCAAATGTGAGGAGCTGACCGGGGAGATCGGCGCTGTTGTTGGAGCATAGGGTTGCACAGGTGTAACCTGAGAGTGAGAAGCGGGGCTGGGACTGAAGTCGTACGACAATGAAGTCCACCGCTGACCTAGGCCGAGACTAGAAGGGTATATTCCCGGGATCATGTTCATGACGTCGCCAACGTTTGTTGCGGTCGGTATGAATTCGTCAGTGTAGTTAGCCAGGGCAACCTGGAGTGGTTGCTGCTGGGGCACGGGCTGATGCTGGACCTGGGGCACGTCCCCAGCTTTGTACAGGATATCGTAGTGGCCGCTAGTCAAAGTCAGAAAGTGACAAAGGAGAAGAGTCAGCACTAAGATGGTAGACTCACGGCCTGTAGAGTAGCCTCAACATGGGAGCGCCAGAGATTGGACGATGGTGTGCGTCTGTCGGCTCTGAATAGAAGCTACGGTTGATCTCTTCGCCGGGCGAGCGGTCCAGATACCACACCTCGATGCCGAAACCTGCCGGCTTGACTAGGGCTTCGGCGAGAGCAGCAATGCCGACATTGTCGGCTTCACACTGTGTGGGCTCGATGTTGTTGGCACAGTAACCTCTGACGTCCCCGTTGTCAATGAAATGGACAAAGTCATCGGCATGCGTCTGCACCCAGGCGCTGGCCAGGAGCTAACGGGCATGGTCAGTAGTGTCAAGGGGAAAAAAGGAGATGCACAAAGCCAACCTTGACATAGGTAATGATTGCCATGGACTCGCCCATGTCGTTGAAGGTGCGGAGCAGGATATCGGCGGCCTGGCCATCCATGTTGCGCAGCGAGTTGGCCAGCTTGTGCAGGAGCTCAAATGCCTCTTCGGCAAAGTCGATCCAAATGTCACGCGAATAACCAATGTGATCCAGTAGGTTGCCGAGTGAGTTGAGACGAGCCTCTTCTTCGGCGAATTTGTTGACATCGCCCACGCTCAACAGGGCCTCAAAGTAGGTGAAGGCGATTGCTGTTTGCGTTAGCAGCAGCACCAAGCAATAGAGAGGGTTGAGCAGGCCACAGGCGCCATGCAAACTTACCCCGCCATCCACAATGGCCATCGCCACGACATGTGCGGAAGTAGGCGTATTTGGCGGGCAGGGCAGCCGTCTTGACTTGGTACACCGGATCTGCGGTGGCATACTGCGTCGTGATAGCAGCGCTGCTTTGGCGCTCGCCCACAAGTGGGCCCTTGGGCGGTCAGCGCGCTTTCCAAAATCACAGGCGCACGCTCACTCACAGTAGCCTCGGGCTCGTACTCGCTCGACAGCTTCTGCAGCTGGGCATACTCTTCGTCCGAGGGATACGCAGCCATGTTGAGGTGGGGGTCGCGGTGTTGATGTTGATGTTGGCGGCCTGGGTGTTGGTGGTGGCCAGTGTGGTAATGATTATAGCTCCCGGAGGGAAGGACCGGGGCGCGGATAGCGAACGCCAATCCGCTTTGGTAGTGGCTCTGTGCCGGCACTCCATAGTGGCCTTGGTGCACATGGGCATGCGGGTGATGATGATGCCCATGAGGATGAAAACCCGTCAACACCGGCTGCCTGTTCATGGCGACTAGAGCTCGACGGTAAGTCTCTGAGTGTTTGGGTGGGTGAGGGAGTGGGATGGGAGCTGCAACGCTCTCAATCTCCGCCCGCGATTTGTCCTAACCTGCGTTGCTTGGTGGGCGGTGGGCGTGACTGGCCTCAATGGCTGGCAATTGGACCAAAGGATTCCACAGCAGCTTCGGTAATGCGCATCGATCTCAGCACCAATTCGCCCGCAAGCTACTGGCGCGAGGGCAGCAGCGCCTTTAGTAGGCGCAGAGGCGCGCGGCGCCGGGCTGGAAGCTGTGTCGTTGCTGTGATACCCACCGACGCCCAGGGGCACAGCGCCAATATATCGGAGAGACAGGACAGATGTTTGCGGCGTGCAGGTGGAATCTGACCTGCCAGGAACCAAGACAAGTCTGCAACACTTTTTGGTCCAGTCGCTCTGCAATGCCCTATTCTTGTTGCACCGGGGACCTGGGAGGCGAAGTCAGGGTGTATGTGTGCGTGTGTAAATGTATGTATGTGTGAGAGTGTGTGAGATTGTGCACAAGAAAGAGAAAGAAACGGGCGTGACGGCGTACAAGAGCGAGGCCATGCACACAGACACACACACACATACATACACAATCAGCGCCTAGATACATCAAACAAAAGCAACTGTTAACGAGAGGGGGGGGTGTGGGCGGGAGGGGGCAAGACCATGACCCATGGCACGTTGGCCAGGGCAAAGCGGCACTGTATGCGCAACAGGACTGGGCGTGTGATATGCCATCACTTTGCCCAACTAGTCCTGATGGAACCGGAGTCTGGAAATTGAAGTGCACTCTGACTCTCTTTCTGGCCTCTTCCACGACTCTGTCAAGGTCATGGCCGAGCAAAGAGCCGGGGGGGAGCGGCTCAGCCAACGCTCCCACAGCCGCCAACCGGAGCATTTGGAGCCAGTCGCTACCAGTGTGAGCGTAAAAAGTGTGAGGCTGGCCGAGGGAGGATGCAAAGCGATCAGCAGCAGCAGCAGCAGCAATGGCAACAGCACAAGCAGCACCAGATGCGGCAGGCGATGCCGTGTGACGGCGGCAAGAATCGTCTCCAAGCACAGCATTCACCGAGGCAGGCCATGGCGTCGAGAACGAGGCAAGCCCTCTCACACACGAGGCCGGGGGTGGATTACATGATTCGCTGTGCACCTCCATGGCGCTGATGCGACAGGAAAAAATAAAAATAAGAATAAGAGTTCCCGCACACCCGAGAGATAGCCTGGACAGGTTACCGATCCCACGCCAGGTGCGAGTCAGGAAAGGCGTGGGCTCGCTTGATACCAGCGACCCTCGTCCCGTGCCCGCTTCCCCGGGGCGTAGCGCCGTTGTCGTCGGGAACTCCCTCTGCTCTCATTCGTACTCGCTCCCACTCAAGCTTCACTGTACTGCGTCACGCACAACCCACTCTCCACAGCGCACCCGTCCTTGGAGGATGCCGCCCTCGGCCACGCAACCAGGTCGCTGGAATGTTGCATTGACAAAATGAGCTCGTCATGCATCACCCTCACTACGCACAAAGTGGACCGTCGCTGCTGACCCATCCATGGCTAATTAACTAGTACCCGCTGTGGCAGTTGCGTGACCAAGCCTGCCCGACCTTCTCCGCCGTCCAACTGACCATGTTGAAACGCCTCCGCTGCTGCTGCTCGATGAACCCTCTAGTCTCGTGCTACCCCGTGGGCCAACCCCTTGCCTGCTCCTCCTCCTCCCACCACCCTCATGCCATGTCTCAAGTCTTCTTCAGGTGAGGAACGCCTCCGTCACCCCAACGTACAACCCTCCCGACGCCCCCGTGTCCCGGAAACCCAGTTGCGGGTCATCTTGTGAAGCCCACGACCGATGATGCAGGTCATCCTTTACTCACCATGCCCGTCTGGCGTCCTGGGCCCTTGCCCTTTGGTCGCGCTGATTTGGCTCCCATGGAGCCTTGGTTCCACCCCATACCTGGAGCCCCGCCAGGAGTGAACTGGGACCCACTCTCGTCAGACTTGAAGCCCTCGCCCTCGTTTAGCACCGTCTGCCACAGCACTCCGATGGCGCTGCTCCATTCCTTGATCGCCTGCACCCGATCCATGTCTGTGCTACTCTCAATCTCCACCGTTCCGTTCTGCTGGTTGATCTTGCCGCGTAACCGCTTGTCAACAATCAGGAACCCTACAATCTCTTGCACTTCAGACAGTGATATCTTGAGCTGTTTCGAGATAAAGGCTAGGGTAAACCGCGTGTACGGCGCAACCAGCTTCACAATCGCCTTGGTGCGCACATTGCGCGTCACTTCGTCAATGTTCTCGGCAATAAAGGGATCCTGGAGCAAGTCACGGTTGTTTTGCAGAATCTTCTCGTATCCGTGAATATCCTCCAGCTGATAAGCATTGACCAGGTCAGTCATGGTCGAGATGCGTGGATCGTTCTGATACGGCTTCGTCTCCTGCGAGTCAAACGGATTGATATCCGAACCCGAGAGCATGGTGGCAAGAACCAGGTACTTGAGCACCTGGATGCGTTGAAGCGAGCCAGCCTCGTCATAATTCTTGAAACTCTCGAAGAAATCACTCTGTGCCCCCTTCCAGTTCTCTGCTACGAGTTAGCGCTGGCCGCCTGACTTGCGTGACATGGATGTGCGTTGTGCTTGCCTTCGCTCATGTGCATCTTGCCACCGCATTCGCGGATGATGCCCATAATCTTGGGATGTGGAACTGCTGATTTGACCTTGAGTGCTCGCTGATAGAGAGCCTTTCGGAGGGTTAGAGGGCATGCACATGAAATCACATTTGGGGCGACTGACCTTTAATCGCTTGTTATTCCTAGTCTCAGCATACATAAGAATCTCGAGCGAGTAGACCTCCAACGAGTATGTGCCCTTGCTTGGGTCATCGGTGCCGTCTTCCCGCTGGCAGGCCTTGTGCAGCTCGCGGAGCTTCTCGGTAAGCTGACGATAGTCCTTCCTGTCCAACCATAGCCGAGCGAGCTTGATGTTGGTCTTGAGCCACAGCCGCTCATTGTTGGTACTCTGGAAGATGTCTAAGGTGAGGGCGTAGAAGTTCTCCATGCACCGATAGGCGTCGGCGTCTTCTGCGGCTTTTTCTATAAAGTCGAGCATGTTGTTTATTGACTTTTCCGAATAGTTGCGCGTCACAGCAGACTTGACATAGGTGAGGAGCTCCTTGTAGTGCTCAACTGCCTGTCTTTCCGTTAGCTGTGGCGTTCTCATTGTCGTGGCGGCATGTACGTGCCTTATCATAGCGCGCCAGCTTGAACTCGAGCTTGATGGCCTGTTTCAACCCTTTGAAGCCCCTTTGTCCCCGTCAGCTCGTATCCATGACGCCAGATGTGAGTGTCGCGTACCATTCCGACTTTTCCTGCTCCAGTGCAGGCATGCCCAGGAATTCATCTATGGCCGCCTCGGGGTCGTCGGCCTTGAGCTGTTTTGCATTGTAGTACTTGTTTTCGATGTCGACGTCGCCACTCTCCTCGTCGTCGTCATCCTCGTATTCGAAGTCATACCTCAGGGATTGGTTAGATATGGAGACAGTGTAGAAGCAAGCGCGACTTACTCCTCCTCGCCGGAGTCTTGCATGAAGTCGTCATCGTCCGACATGTTTGTGGGTTAAAGATGTGCAATGTGCAATGCAGTTAGGACTGGGTGGGTTCGTAGAGATATGAGATGCTGGGCCCGAATTGCTCCGTTGGGATGTTTGTTGGTATGTGGCTCAGCAGGGCCAACTGCGACTTGTTTGTCTGCGTGAGGCGGTGATGGTTGTAGTGGTGGTGCCTGCGCGTTAGTAGAGCCACCCCACTTGCGCGGGGCTAATAAGCTGAGCTCCCCAGGCCGCCATCCCACCTGCACTCTGCGAGGCCGGTCACGTGCCATTGCGTATGTGTACTCGGAGCGGGCTGCTGGTAAAGTGAAGTGTACGTATGTACATGTACGTAGGGACATGTGTACACTACTACATGGTGCATAGTAGGTAATATACTATACTACACTAGCACTGTTACGTCGGTGCATGCACAGTCAGCAGCCAGTAACCCAGTGCCCCCCCAAAGCCCGAGTGCCGGCTTGGGGCATGGTGACATGCTTTGGGTGCAGCCCTACTGTTGAGCCCCAACAGTCCTGTGCCCGCACACAGCTTGGGGCGCGTCAGGATGCAGGGACTTGGCGAGCCAGGCCAGAGAGTCGACAAGACGGTAGTTTGTTCACGGTGCAAAGGGCGGTGGATTGGCGTGGGCACTGGATTGGGCCGGGCATCGTGAGTCTGGTACGGCATCTGCTAAGTACCTCGACCTTCTTTTTTCGGACCGGTCTCACACGTGGAGTTCCCCGGACATTCGTATCCCAGATGCCCTATCAGCCACTCGCACTCGCTCTCTGCCTCCATATCGCCCGCCTTGGTTCGCTCTCTGCGCCCCCGGCCGTCATCCGGGCGCAATCATTCGACCCCCTCTGCACTTAGATCCTGCTACCTGCCACCATGCCCGCCCTTCTCCCGCTCTTCTCCCGCCAGGATTGGTGTGCTCACGGCTCTGCTAAGTCCCTCATGGGTCGCCTTGACACCCGAGCGCTTGCTATCGAGGCTGTGAGGTGGTCGCGCGGGTGTGACCAGTGCTAATCACCCTTTTAGGTTTAACCCTGGCTACGAAGGGTGCATCTTCAACTCCACTGCTCCATCCGCCCCATCGTTTGCCTCTCCACACACCAGCATCTGGATCCCTCACAACTTGACACAACCATCCCTGCCGCCCGCTGCTAAGAGCCCTGCCTGCCACGCCTAAATACTCTTCTTGCCGCCACCCTCGCCGCCCCAGCTGCCACTGTTGCTCTTCATCCTCCGTCCTGACAACGCGCGCGCGCCGCGCCCTGCTGCTCCCTGAGCTCACAAAACCACTTCATCGCGGCCTCGTCCCCCCTTCTCAACTACCACCATGCCTTTGTGCGGCGGAACGAAATCGGTGCAGCGCAAGCTGGTACTTTTGTATGTCTGCCTGAACTCGGCACGCCTGCTTGTCTAGGCCCCGGGTCCACGATGCGACAGGACTTGACTAACAGACGTTTCACAGAGGTGATGGCGCATGCGGCAAGACCTCATTATTGAACGTTTTTACACGAGGGTACGTATGCCATTGTGCTCTTGTTGTGTGTGTGTGTGTGTGCCTTGCTAATTCTTACGTAGATATTTCCCAACAGTATAGTAAGTACCTTGCGCTTTTGGTGTTGGCGCCCAAGGCTGACCACGCCGCCTCAGCGAGCCCACGGTATTCGGTAAGAGCACCCATCACATTTACTATGCAACATCTGCTAACCCATCATCGTAGAAAACTATGTACACGGTTCGTGCGCCATACTCACATTTCTGCTCAATTGAATTGACCCTGGCCTCTAGACATTTACATTGACAACACACACGTCGAGCTCAGCTTGTGGGACACCGCCGGACAAGAAGAATTTGATAGGCTACGATCGCTCAGCTATGACGACACGCATGCAATTATGCTCTGCTTCTCTGTACAGCCGTCCAGCCATGTGTTTTCCAGACGTTTGCTTACACGTGCCAGGTCGACTCCCCAGATTCGCTTGAGAACGTAGAGACAAAATGGGTTGGTGAAATAGCAGAGAACTGCCCGGGTGTCAAGCTTGTCCTTGTTGCGCTCAAGTGTGATCTTCGCAAGAAGGAGGACGACGATGCCGACGAACAGCAGCCAGAGAAGCCATGCATTGACTACGACGAGGGTCTGCGCGTGGCAGAAAAGATTAAGGCTCTGCGATATCTTGGTACTACAATATCGTCCTGCATCTCTTCGAGTAAACTAACATGAATCCAGAATGCTCTGCTATGAAGAACAGGGGTGTCAACGAGGCCTTTACCGAAGCCGCTCGTGTTGCGCTCCAGGTCAAGACCAGCAAAGACAAGAGCGGAGGCTGCACCATCCTCTAGTTGATTTTATTTGCTGTCACCTCGGTTGGACGACTTGACAGATTTCCAACTCCGAACCCTTGGCCTCGCCACCCGCCCCATCTTCTCGTTCAATCAAGGCGCACATCACCAAACTTTTCCCTTTCGCCATCTGCTGCCATTGCATTGTCCCCCTCTTTCTTCACGTGTCGATCTTCATTTCCGTTCAGTGCCTCTTGGACAACCAGCATACGACATGATTTTGGCTCACGCCCATTTGGATAAGAAAGAAAGACGAGCTTTGTGCGAGCTGGCGGCCACTTGCTCATCAATTCTTTTCCATTTGTCTCTGGAGAGGAAGTCTGCTTGGCTTAGATCTCTTGCCTTTTACCCCGTTTTTTTCAACACCCTTATTATTTTATTGTACATGTTCGCTACCAGCTTAGCTGCATCAGCGCTGGCCTTCTTTCTTTTTACTTTTTCTCCTTAG